GGTCTGTGTTATATGGCCCATGCCCCGAGCTGGTTTTTGAATGGAAGGCTGTCGATGGCCATTCTCTGTGCATCAATTATGTTTAAGTATTGAGCTGGCATGGTGTTGAATTGTTGTATCGGGGAATGTGAACGATGAGGATCCAAGGGATCCAAATAGACAATTGGATGGTTGTGAGGGGAGAAAACTGGTCGTGTTTCATGCCGCCATCAGCAAGGAAAATTGTATTTGAACGTGGAGCCGGACTCCCGAACATGTATGCCCAATTTGTGTGAAGGACAGTTTATGAGGCTGCGTACGATTTTGGACCAGAGATGAATGTGTAGTCTGCATTTCCTGTGAGCACGCCAAGGGAGCGATTTGAGTCATCACTGATTTGCTATGCCGTTGTACTTAACCTTAACAAGGGGCCAACTCAAGCTAGTCCAGCCTGTCGTGTACCAAGACACCATATTGATAGTTGAACGTTCTTCCCGTACTTGATTGGTTAATTTTCCGTCGCCCTAGTCCCGCAGCCGTCCCTTCTTGGGGTATGACGCCCCTGACCCCAGCCAAATGCCCTGAGTGCCCCGCTGCCCATCCTCGACTACTCCCTCCTGTTCCCCGCAACCGTGCGTCAAGCCCTTGCCCTGTGGATCTTCGGCATCAAACAACAACCCCTCCTGCTGACGTGCCCGGGGCTCGCACTCCAATCCCGTACCCTGCATGACAGTCCTTGGGCTCTCGTGACTTCGTCCCAGCTGCCAACTGCCGTGCAATCTCCACCACGGCAATCCGCGCCATGCTCTGGGTTCACGCGGCTGCCGCACGGCAGCAGCCTCGTCAGCCTCGCATATTGGCATCATATCGTCGATCTGTCCGACAAAGATAGCTACGGCTGGGCCCCAGCGACACTCGAGCAGTTGCTGGGTAGCTGCCCGGCGGTGTCCAGCTGCGTGTTGCTATTGCATCTGTTCAGGGCCTTAAATGTCCAGCAGACCAGCACGACTGGCGGTGTTGCAAGCGCAGAGGCCCGCCGAGAACGTCCCAGTGCCGTTCCAGTGTGGTGTTGGCGGATTTGCCGGTAGGAAACCGTTGGGCCCGCGGCACGCTTGGAGCCGGCATGTGCCAGTTTGTTGACTCGGCCCACGGCGCCGCCACCCGCGCTCGCAGATCATCTGGTGCTTGGTGCGGTATTCGGCCGTATGTCATTCAAGGCACACCTATTCTGTCTTTACGTTTCAGTGGCATGGAATGGAGCCGGCCCCATTCGCCATTTGCAGCGACGAATTGTGGTCAAAATGTACACATCCGACATAGGTCAACCGCGATAACGGCGATGGCATGGGATGGAGTCGGCCCCATTCGCCATTTGCAGCACCGTCTCGCGGTCAAAATGTACACACCCGACAGAGATCAACCGCGATAACGGCAACTAAGTTTCGGGTATGGCTGTGGCGTTTGCATTCCGGTCGCTGTCGGCAGTAATCGCGCAAGTGTGCTAAGATACCGCATTGCGGCGCACCTGAGATTGCCCAATTTGGGGACCGTCGCCGCCTGTGCACGGTGCTGACGGGTTGGGTTCCCACCAACGTAGGTTCCTTGCCTGTGACCCTCTGAATCCCAGCGTCAGCTATGAGGTCAATGGACGCAGGCCTTCTCACCCAGTTCGGGATCATGCAGAAGATAACAACGGGAAACATGGTGTTCGACATGGCCCTGATGTTCATGATGCCAGTGATCATGAAACACGCAGTGGACTACTGGGGCCAACTCAAGGAGCTCTTCCTGAAGAGGTACAACGCTGAACCGAGCAAATATGTTCGGATCATTGAGTATGCATGCGAAAGTGGCAAGCCACGGTACTGGGACACTGACAACAACAGGAACAAAGTTCTGCAGGTGAGTGTGTTATTTTCTTGCCGCGTGGATGGCAGCAGTTTGGAGAAGGACAGGAACTGACCTTTGGCCATTGCGTGCTGTGCATGTCGATGCATCTGTCGTCCCCTCTGCCCATTGCACGTCATAGTGTCTATCAACTTATGGCAGTTGAGTGTGGAGATGCTGGGGCCTGTGTGGACCACCCACGCTGGATATTTTGATATGCTTTTCTTTGCCGATGGCGCCTAGGAGACTTTGGGAAGTGTGCAGCATTTTGCACCCACGAGTGGGCACTTGAATGTGTTCTTTCCCATCCTTTTGTGTTTTGCTTCTGGCGATCAGGATAGCATCCTCATGTTTCTGGACAGCAAAAAGGATGTTGTTGAGAAATTCAAGGTTGCCTACTTTAAGTTGACAACTTCAGCAACAAATGAAGAGGATCTGGACTCGGGCAAAGGACAAGGGGACGAAATCGGGAGATACACATTGCAGATTGCACCTCCTGAAAATATATGGTTTGACGTCGAGCAAGATGTTCAGTTCAAGAAGTAAGTGGCTTGCATCTTTTGCTATTGCAGCATCCATCGGTGCCAACTTATCCAGTTTGCAAGCTGCAATTGCAAAGTGAACAGCCACAAGCACAAGTCCTTCTGTGCAAACTTTCTGTCACATTCTGTTCCAGGAAACCATGGCATGCTAGTGTCCTTTCACTTATGGCCTGTTTTGCCGCATCAACAGATCCCAGAGCAAAACGCAAGAGGGAGACAACAAGGGCAATACTGTTGTCACATTCACTTTTCAGACAGACCTGAGGGATGGACAGGCTAGGATTAGCGACTTCGTGGACAGGGCGCTTCAAATGTACAAAGCCAGGATGGGAGAGAAGAAGGACACAGCCAGGTGGGTGACACTTGTGGCTTTCTTTTTTTCTCCAAACTTGCCAAGAGGACACCAGAACACCTGTTCAGTCCAGTTTTGTCTTGGGATGTTGATCGTTTGGTGTTCCTGGGCCAAGCCGTTTGTTGTCAGTCTCATAATGGATGATCCCTCATCTTGCAGGTATTTTTACACCCCTCAGTTTCCAATGGGTGCAGACGACAAGAATAACACCGGCATGGTGTACAAGCGCTACCTGCTCTCTGAAGAAAAAACGTTCGACTCCTTCTTTCATCCTGAGAAAAAGGAGATCCTAAGGCTGGTCGATCACTTTGTACACAAGCAGGGGAAGTTTGGGATCCCAGGGTATCCCCACAAGCTCGGTCTGCTCCTCCATGGGCCCCCTGGCACTGGCAAGACGTCTCTGATTAAGGTGTGTATGCTGTTGCGCTCTATGGGCAATCTTGTCTTTGGATTTCATGATGCAACAACGGTCAATCCACCCTGCACCAAATCACATCAGAAAACTGCTCTTCCGCCAGAAGAGCTCGCCACCTCTTGTGCTGCCAGGAAAACACCAATAGTGAGGGCCACGCAATTTGTAGGGTGTGTTACAAGGATCGGATGCACATTCGTTTCGTGCTGTCGCGTCTTCAGTGTGTGTTTCCTAACGTTCCTCTTCATCATGTGCAGGCTCTTGCCCAGTACACGCACCGCCACATTATCAGCATCCCACTGTCGAGGGTGCGCACGAATCAAGAGTTGATGGACCTCGTCTTCGATCAGTCGTGTAGAGTGGAGGGCAATAGTACGAAGTACGAGCTGCCGTTCAAGAAGACGATATTCGTGATGGTAGGAACCGACTGGCTTGGAAATTTTGGCAGGAATGTGAAGCGATCATCGATCGACATTGGACACCACATAAATCACAGCAATTATAGGGCCTCAGCCATATCCTGGAGCGGTTTTCTGCCGATAAACAAGCGTATCCAATGTATTTAACGGCATATTGACCAGTGTGTTGTTTTCCTGTGAGCAGGAGGACATTGACGCTGCATGTGATGTTGTCAAGAGGCGCTCCAGCGCAGCTCCAAAGAGTGAAAAGGCAAAGGCCCCCACAGGCCCAGGAGCCGACCCGAAGGTGAGACGCGTGCTTTCCTATGTGATGTTGGCCCTGGCGTCAGGGCCTTCGCCAAGTTGGTTTACCTTTAAGTTGGTTACTAGCGGTTTAGATTGTTTTCTGGAATTCTTCAATCAAACATAGACTGACAAATTCATGTGTTGCAACAGAAAGCAAAGGAGAAAGGAACAGGGACGCCGAAAAATGCCGACCCCCCTGCGAGTTCAAACAGCGAAGAGGATGGTGTGAAAGGGACCTCGTTTCTGGACAAGCTGCATGACAGAAACGACGAACTGAACCTCGCTGGAGTCCTCAACGTTCTTGACGGCGTGGTGGACTGCCCGAACAGGATTGTGGTGAGTTTCATCCCAAGAACGTAATACACGATGCTGTCACGATATTGCAGGATTGTTTGGTTAGCCATAGCCAAAGATACGAAACGCACTGCGTTTCTCACATCCTGACAATTTAATGATAGGATGTGCATTTGAAATGGCTAACGTACCCAGTCCCTCATTTCGCTCTCGTTTTAAAGCGTAGGCCCTAACGTGTAGGAGCTCAGATGGTCTAATCAAGTGCACTCGGATGCATATCGCAGGTCATGACAACAAATCACCCAGAGAAACTGGATCCTGCCCTGATCCGGCCCGGGAGGGTGAACAAGCAGCTGTATCTCGGATACCTGCGGCTGGAGGAAGCATTGCAAATGGTGGAACACTACTTTGGCGAACTGACGGAGACGGAAAAGTACAGCTTCACCAGTGTCTTTCCCAACTTGACGACGTCTCCAGCGGCTCTGGAAATTATTTGTGCATCCTGCAATGTCGTAGACGACCTTGTGGCGTGCATAAAAGACGAGCACCCGGAGTATGCGTCACCACAGTCCGCGGTGGGATGCGAAAACACTTGTAGTTCTGGTGTTGTTGCTGGTTGTGGGACGCAGGGAAAGATTGGAGACAGGGGTGGGGTTGATGAGGTCGGGCCTTCCACGTCGATTGCCGTGCCAAAGACGAGATTCGATACAGCATTGAGCCCTAGAGTTCAGGAAACAAAGCTAGCCGATTCGCAGATTGCTGGTCTTTAGCTCAGAAGGAAACAGGGATTGTACAGAATTGTTCAACGCTTAGTGTCTTCACGCAGAATCTGGCATTGCGAGATCTGGTGCGCTTCCATCGAGCGCAAAATGGACATGTGAATCTTTGCTGTAAAATTCGTTGAAACATGTCCACAGCACATACAAGCAGACTTACTCTTCATGTTCAGGGCGTACATCAGTTTCGTAAGGATAAAAGTGCGAACAGAAGTTCTCCGGGCCCGATGCTGTCATTGCAAAACTACTCGCACAAAAACCAGGCACCTACTCGCGTCGTGCAACGGTACAGCCCGCATCATATCAATCGCAAAGGTCATTGTTAAAAATTTCCCGCTTGCTGAGACGTGGCAGGTTTGTTGAGGCGCACATGCAGAAAAGTATTCAAATCTTTTCAAGGTTGATGCAATTATTACCAGATTGCAGAAATGCGCGTACATGATATGATGACGTGAGTGCCAGTTCCTCGCGTTGGCGACCACCAAAGGCTGAGATTTGAGTGGGGCCATCCAGTGGGCGCTTGAGAGCGGTTTGCCACCAGAGGGTTGTGTCGCTGTTTGTGCGAAGTTATTGCGGTATTGTCTAATGCGCTCGGCAATAGGCAGGGCGCTCGAAGGGATCCAATGAAAGCAGCACAGCCATTAGGATTCAGGGGTGAAAGCAACTGGGCTTGGACGCGACCACAGTACACATAACAGCGGAGATCGCGATTTCGCGATGGCAGCATGGATCGCATTGGGACAGCCGGCAGAGGACTAGCTGTGTAAACAAGTGATTGCGATAGAGCGAATGGCTCTTCTGAACCATGAGGTTGGAGAAAAAGGACGCGCCGTCCAGGCGGTGTGGGCAGGCGGCAGTGGTGGCGCTGCTGTCATGTGCTGCAGTGTATTATCATGAACTATAGTGAGAGGCGTGAAAGTAAGGATTGATACTAAGGGTGGGGTGGGAGGGTCTGATCTTAGCCCCCATTGAAGCTAAGCGTACACTAAAATTAAACAGTGTCTTTCATTAGTTTAAGAAAGTACTGTAGATCACGGTGGATAGCGCGGAGGGGTTATATTACGCGGGGGCCCTTAGATAACGCCCCCAATGCAATGGAACATGGCCACCGCCGCTGAGCGCGAGGGGTAGACAGCGCGGGTGGTGTGCGCATCCCATGATGGAAAATCATCGCTCACTGTCAAAAGATGCAGCGACACAGTGCACGAAGTCACAAAATCGTTATGCTGACGTTCTCCCACTTTTATTGTGATTAGCGTCTATACTGGATTTGTGTTTAATGTGTTGGATCGGTCTGGTGGTCAATGTGACAAGGTAGGGGCGTTACTGATTCATCGGTGCTATACTTAATTTTCATGTTATCGAACTGCTACATCGGCGTTTAGAACGATGAGGATCCAAGGGATGCAAATACACAATTGGGTTGGTGCAAGGGGAATATGCAAGCCCGTGCTGTGTGCGAGGATGGGTGTGGGCGCCTTTGGACCGGCGATGAGCGTGGTGGAGTCGAATTCCCCTGTGAGCACTCTGAGGCAGCGGTTTGAGTCGTCATTGAACCGGGTAAGCTTAAGATGGGTACAACTCAGGCACACCCTGCCCGTCGTGACACGACCGGCTGGCCGTGCCCGAGACACACTGTGCCAAGATGCGCCATCGATGGTTGAAGGCTTGTCCCTAGCTTGATTTATTAGGGTTCCGTCGCCCTAGTTCCGCTGCCATCCCTTCTTGTGGTATGCCGCCCAAAAGCCCAACCAAATGCCCCAAGTGCCCTGATGACCATCCTTGACGGCTCCCTCCTGTTCCTCGCAACCGTACCCTTGCATCAGCCTCTTCCCTTGCGGATCCTTGGCTTCCGGCAACAATCCCTCCCTCCTGCTAATTTGCCTTGGGCTCGCACCCCAGTCCCATATCCTGCATGACAGCCCTCGGGCTCCCGTGGCTTTGTTCCCGCTGCCGTACAACCTCCACAACGAGAATCGGGGCCAAAACGGGGACACGCCATCAAGGCGGCTTCTGCACGGCAGCAGCACCCTCGGCCTTGCACGGTGGCATCATATCGTCGACCTGTTCGATAGGGACAGCGGCCCTCCAGGTGGCACGGGGTGCTCGGTAGCTGTTGTCCAGCTCCGTCATAATAGTGTGTCTGCAACTGTTGAGGGTCTTAAAAGGGGCAACAGCCAAGCAAGCGGACGAGCGCGGCTGCCGATGTTGCAAGCACGGAGCACAGACCTGTCGAGAGCATCCACAAGCGTCCCAGCGGGGTGTTGGCGGATTGGCAAGTAGGAAGCCGTAGGCGATCACCGCTCTCGGTGATTGGCCTGGCGATTGGCCCACCCGCGCTCACAGATCAACTGTTTCTTCATGCGGTATTCGGTTGTACGCCACTTGCGGCACACGTACCCTGTCTTCGCGTTACGGTGTCATGGGATGGAGTCGGCCCCATTCGCGGTGAGCGGCGGTGGTAAGAAGGGACACACCGGCAGAGGTCAACCGAAATAACAGCAAGTAAATTTCGGGTATTGCTGTGGCGTTTGCATCCCGGTCGTTCGCGGCAATAACGACAAGTTGTGCTGAAGACCGCTTTGCGACACACCTAAAATTGCCTTATTTCTGGGGGACCGTCGCTGTCTGTGCACGGTGATGACGGGTGGGGTTCCACCGACGCAGGTTCACACTGCAGTGAGCTCTGAATTCCATCGTCCGCTATGGGGCCCACGGACGCTGGTCTTCTCACCCAGTTCGGGATAATGCAGAAGATATCCACTGGGCACATGGTGTTCGACATGGCCCTGATGTTCATGATGCCAGTCGTCATGAAATATGCCGCGGGTTACTGGGGCCAACTGAAGCAGTGGTTTCTGGAGAGGCCCCACCCTGAACCGAACAAATATGTTCGGATTATTGAGTACGCATGCAAGTCGAGCTCGTCGTGGTGCTCGGACAATGACAACAACAGGAACAAAGTTCTGCAGGTGGGTGTACTCTTGTCTGGCTTTCTTTCTGCGTGGATGGCAGCATATTGTCAAGAACAGGAACTGGTCGTTGGCCATTGAGTGTTGTGCACGTCATTGCAACCATCATCTTCTCTGCCTACTGCACGTCGCAGTGTCTATCAGCTTACCCCCAGCCAAGTGCGGAGATACTGGTTGTTGTACGCACCAACCACGCTGGACAATGCGATCTGTTTGTTTCTGACGGCGCCCAGGCGACTTTGGGAAATGTGCACCTCTAAATGGGCACTTGAATGGTAGGTATTCTTTCTAATTCTGGATGATTTGCTTCTGACGATCAGGATAGCATCCTCATGTTTCTGGACAGCAAACCAGATGTTGTTGAGAAATTCAAGGTCGCCTACTTTAAGTTGACAACTGCAGCAACAGAGGAAGAGGACAGCATTGATGACCCAAGCAAAGGACAAGGGGACGAAATCAGGAGATACAGAGTGCAGATTGCACCTCCTGAAAACGTGTGGTTTGACATCGAGCCAGACATTCAGTTCATGAAGTAAGTGCTGAAGTAAGTGGTCTTTCGCCACATCAGCATCTATCTGTATCAACTTATCCAAGTTGTGAATTGCAAGTGCAAAGTGATTCTTCAAGCATAAAGACTTTCTCCAGAAACTGCACACAGCATTTCGCTCTTGAACTATGAGAAGGAAGTGTCATGTCACTCGTTGCCTGTTTCGCACGTTAACAGGTCCCGGATTAGAACGAATGAAGGAGACGGCAATGCCAGTACTGTAGTCACGTTCACTTTTGAGACAGACCTGAGGGATGGACAGGCCAGGATTAGCGACTTCGTGGACAGGGCACTTGCAATGTACAAAGAAAGGATGGGGAAAAGGAGTGACACAGCCAGGTGGGTGACATTTCTGCTTTCTTCGTTTGTCTACACATGCCACCAGAACAGCTGTTCAGCCCGGTTTGGTGTTGAGATGTTGATCGTTTTTCGCTGTTGTTGAGCAAAGATGCTTGTTGATGTGGCCACATGCTGCAGGTACTTTTACTCCCCCCAGTTTCCAAAGGATGCTGACAACCAATATAACACCATCATCCTGTACAAGCGCTACCTGCTCTCTGAAGAAAAAACGTTCGACTCCTTCTTTCATCCTGAGAAAGAGGAATTCCTGAGGCTGGTCGATCACTTTGTACACAAGCAGGGAAAGTTTGGGATCCCAGGTTATCCTCACAAGCTCGGTCTGCTGCTTCACGGTCCCCCTGGAACTGGCAAGACGTCTCTAATTAAGGTGTGTATGCTTTTGAACTCTGTGGGCAGTCTTGTCTTTGGATTTGATGATGCAACAATGGTCAATCCACCTTGCACCACATCACGTCGGAAACCTGCTCTTCCGCCAGAAGAGCTCGCCACCTCTTGTGCTGCCAGGAAAACACCAATAGTGAGGGCCACGCAATTTGTAGGGTGTGTTACAAGGATCGGATGCACATTCGTTTCGTGCTGTCGCGTCTTCAGTGTGTGTTTCCTAACGTTCCTCTTCATCATGTGCAGGCTCTTGCCCAGTACACGCACCGCCACATTATCAGCATCCCACTGTCGAGGGTGCGCACGAATCAAGAGTTGATGGACCTCGTCTTCGATCAGTCGTGCACTGTGAAGGGCGATTGTACGATGTACAAGCTGCCGTTCAAGAAGACGATATTTGTGATGGTAGGAGCTGACTGGTTTGGAAATGTCAACAGCATCGTGACGCCATCAGATCGATGATGGACACTTGCGCAAATCACAGGATTTACAGGGCTTCGGCCATGTCATGTAGCGGTTTTCTGCCGACGAAACAATGTCGAATGTATTTGACAGCATGCTGCTCAGTTTGCTCTGTGCCTGTGAGCAGGAGGACATTGATGCTGCATGTGATGTCGTCAAGAAGCGCTCTAGTGCAGCTCCCAAGGCGGAAAAGGCGAAGGCCCCAGTCGGCCCAGAAAAAGTCCCAAGGGTGAGACTCGTGCTTTCCCATGTTAGGTTGGAACTGGCGTCATGGCCTATGTCCAAGGCATTCATTGTATACCAGCGGTTTAGATTATTTTCTGGTCTTCCTCAATCAACCATGGATTGACAAATTCGTGTGTAACAGAAGGCAAACGAAAACGGAGAAGAGACGGCCAAGAACGCGGACCCCCCCGCGAGCTGCAACAGCAACGAAGTTGATGCGAAATTTCCTTCAGTTTCAGAAAGGCTACAGGAGGGAAAGGGCAAACTGAATCTTGCCGGAGTCCTTAACGTTCTCGACGGTGTCGTGGACTGCCCAAACAGGATCGTGGTGAGTTCATATTCCGATTGTACTACACGATGCTGTCAGGATGTTGCCGAATTGTTGAGGTAACTATGACCAACGATATGAAAACGCATTGGGTTTGTCATGTACTGACAATGTTACCGAAGGGGATGCATTTGAATCGGTCAACGCATCCAGGCCCAAACGTGTAGGAGCCCATATGGGCTGACCAAGTGCAACCGTATCGCAGGTCATGACAACAAATCACCCAGAGAAACTGGATCCTGCCCTGATCCGGCCCGGGAGGGTGAACAAGCAGCTGTACTTCGGATACCTGCGGCTGGAGGAGGCATTGCAAATGGCGGAGCACTACTTTGGCAAACTGGCGGAGGCGGACAAGCGGAGCTTCACCAGTGTATTTCCCAATTTGATGATTTCTCCAGCGGCTCTGGAAAGCATGTGTGCAGCGTGCGATGTCGTAGACGACCTTGTCAGGTGCATAAAGGTCGAGCACCCAGAACGTATGTCGCCACAGACCCCGGCAGGGTGTGAATGCACTTCTGTTTGTGGTGTTATGGGTGCCTGTGGCGCACAGGGAAAGATTGGGGACAGGGGTGAGGTCGGGCCTTCCGCGCCGATTGCCGTGCCGCAGAAGAGATCCAGCACCCCATGGAGCCCTAGAATTCAGCCAATGAAGCCAGCCGATGCGCAGGTTGTTGTCTTTTAGGTCAGAAGAAAAGAGGTTTTGTGCAGAATTGTTCAAGGGGTAGTGTGTTCTAGCAGAAATTCGAGATTGCGAGAACTGGTGCGCTTCCATTGTGCGCAAAATCGACAGATGAGTATTTGCTGTAAGCTTGGTTGAAACCTGAAGGCATCTGAGATGCTGTATGCGTGATACGGCGCCCGTAGGTCGTTTTCATACGGACTGCGGTGCTCTAGCCATGCTCCCCCATGAAGCGCCCTATCAAGGACAGCTCGCACCAGAATGATAACGCTTTGGGGGACTGTACGCGGACTTTTGAACAAGGGCAGCCGTCGTCTTTTTCTGAAAAAAGGATGGGTCCACTGCCCATGTTCAAGAGTCTCCTTATCAATTTAGGTAAGAAGCTATTTTGAATTTTGTGCGCCTAGCCACAAATGGAAGCCAAGGGAAGACGCTATTTTGTAGGCTTGAATTTTGTACGCCTAAGGGTGGGTGGGGGTGGGTGGGTGGGGGAGCAGCCATTGACTCTAACAATTTTGTAATGTAATTGCTCTGAAATCAAAATAAGGTGAGAAGATGCACAAAAGCGCCACTGACCAGCGGCAGATAGCTAATGAGCTGTTGCAAAACCTTCCTCAAACTTTCAATCTTTCAGGAAATCCCTAGAATGGATCAATTCTCTGGCTTTGGGGCTGCTCCCATCGCCTGTTATGGCTTTTGGCATCCCATTTTCAAACCCCTGAAATCGCCACAATTTTAGCCCTTTTTCCCCTCAAAATCATTGCGAGAGTTGTATTGCATTGGTAGGTATGCTGTTGAGTCATCCTGGCATCAAAATATTAGGTGAAGCCAAGGGGTGGGGTGGGGGTCTGAGGCTCAACCTCTGGGCGTAATGTCATGCTTGATGCTAAGCTTGAAAACTTCAAAATAATGTCTTCACTGATAGATGCCGTAATTGCAAGAAAATCAAAATAAGGCAAGAAGAGGTCCAAAACGCCTAAAAGTCGCCACGGAAAACATGCCAGAACGTGGCACAAACTTCTGATGGCCACAGTGCACACAACCAGACATTATTCTTCGCGTTTGAGCCGTACATCAATTTCACAAGGAAACAAATGCGAACGGAAGCTCTCCATGCTCGACTGTGTGATTGCGAACCTACTCATACAAAAGCCAGCCACCTACTAACGCGTGCAAGGGTACAACCCTCGGCATATCAATCGGAAAGGCTTATTGATAAATCCGTCCCCCTTGCCCAGTCGTGGCCGGTCTGTTGAGGCGCATATGCAAATCCAATCCTTGTCACGTTCACTTTTCAGACAGAGCTGAAGGATGGACAGGCCAGGATTGACGACTTCGTGGACAGGGCGCTTCAAATCTACAAAAGCAAGATGGGAAAGAAGGTGGACACAGCAAGGTGGGTGACATTTGAGGTGTTCTTCTGCTGTCTATACAAACCAAAAGGACACCAGAATAGCCACTCAGTCTGTTCTGGTACCAGGACGTTGCTGCTGTTGGCCAAGGCGGTTGCTGCTAATTTCATTGTTTATATTTCGCCAGGATTGGTTTTTACGGCGTAAATACTGTCTGTTTATGGATATTTACGTGTAAAACTGGTTTTACGTTTTAACATGTAAGTAGGCGTAAAAACGCGTAGAATTGGACCCTGTATACTTGAAGACAGTACATGTTGACTCAGAGAGGGAGAGCAGTGGCAGCTAGACGCGCTGAACTGTGCAGAAAACGATCTTCCGGTCGAGCAAATCGTTGCCCTTGCTGAGGGCGAGGTGGACGATGTGTTACTGTTGGTCGAGGGGCTGGAAAATTCAACATTGATTGGAACATCATCCTGTAATCTGGCCGTGTCGGCGAGCCGTTAATATGCGTCAATATGGGCGTAAACATGAACGCTTCTCTATTTACGCGTTATTACACGTTGAAACGCAAATTTAAAAATGAGGACACAAACGTAAATGCCAAGCCTGTGTGCCGTCATGTTGCAGGTACTTTTACACCCCGCCAATTTTTTCTCGAATTCGAGGGAAACGGATGCTGAAGATCTTCATCAACGCATCCTGTCTAGCCAAGAAGAGCGGTATGATTTACATGCGCTGCCAGCTCTCAGAAGAAAAACCGGTCGTACCCGGAACCGGGTACTGGCAGTACCCGGATAGTTCGGGTCCCCATACACCGACTGTACCCGCCTATACCCGGGTGCGTACCCGTACCCGCCTACCCGGGTACAAGGGCTGAGAATAAACAGTACCCGCCCCGGGCACCAGGGTATCCTGTGCCCGGGTACCATCCCTAGTTCAAACTCGGAGCCGGACTCACGAATGCAAGTCCGTGCCCTGTGTGAGACTGCATGTGGGCTGTGTACGGTTTGTAAGGGCGGGTGTGGGCGCCTTCGGACCGGCGATGGACCGTCGATTCAACACTTCCTGTGGGCACTCCAAGGGAGCGGTTTGAGCCGTCATCAAACTGACTAGGCTCAACATGGGTTCAGGCACAACCAGCCTGTCTTGACACGCTTGCCGTGCCTGAGGCTCACTGTGCCAAGATGTGCCATCGATGGTTGAGGGTATGCCCCGCGCTTGGTTTGTCAAGGTTTGGTCGCCCCAGTTCCGCTGCCACCCCTTCTAGTGGAATGCCGCCCAAAAGCCCAACCAAGTGCCCCCAAGTGCCCCGACGCCCATGCTTTGCTACTCCCTCCTGTTGCCCCCAACCACGCCCCAGCCGCTGCCTTGCGGGTTTTTGGTATCTGACAACAATCCCTCCCTCCTACTCATGTGCCCTGGCTTCGCACTCCAATCCTACCTCGCATAACAGTACTTGGGCTCCTGTGACTTCGTCCCAACTGCTGGCTGCCGTACAGTCTCCACAACGAGAATCGGGCACACGCCTCCAACGGGCGCCTCACCTTCAACAGCAGCCTCGTCAGCCTTGCACAGTCACATCATCTCGTCGATCTGTCCAGCAGGGACAGCCACCCGCTGGGCACTGGTGGTCCGCGGGCAGGAACTGCGTACCTGCTAGCCGATGTCCAGCACCTTCAACCTTCACCTGCACCTTCAGTGTTCAGGACCTTGAAATGGCCAGCAGACGAGCGCGGCTGACGGTGCCGCAAGCACAGCGCACAGGTCTGTCGAGAACGTCCACAGGGGTCCCAGCGGGGTGTTCGCGGGTCCGCAGGTAGGAGGCCGTGCACGTATATTCCATGTTTGCACCACCCGCGGGGAGTGGCCCGGCCGCACGTTTCGCGACGGCATGCACTGGTTTGGCGGCGCCGCGCACTGCGCAACCCTACCCACGCTCGTAGATCATCTGGTTCTTGCTGTGTTAATCGGCTGTATGTCAACCATGGCACGCCATTTCTGTCTTTGCCTTCCAGTGGCATGGGATGGGGTTGGCCCCATTCGTCGTGTGCTGCGCCGAATTGTGGTCACAAGGGACACACCCGACAGAGATCAGCCGCAAAAACAGCAACCAAACTTCGGGTGATGCTGTGGCGTTTGCATTCCGGCCGTTCGCGGCAATAACCACGCAAGTGTGCTGGGGATACCGCACTGCCACACACCTGAGAATTTCTGTTGCCTAATTCTGGAGAACATCGACGTCTGTGCACGGTGCTGGCAGGCTGGGCTCCCACTGATGCAGGTTCACCCTGCTGGGACATCTGAATCCCAGCGTCCGCTCTGGAGGCAATGCACAGTGGGGAGTATGGCTGGGATAGTGGGGATAATGGAGAGTGGGTACTGGACAGTGGAGAGGGGCCAGTGGGCGGTGGACAGGGGGCAGTGGGCGATGGACAGTGGGCGGTGGACAGTGGGATGTCGACCGGCCTTCTCACCCAGTTCGGGATCATGCAGAAGATATCTACGGGGAACATGTTGTTCGACATGGCACTGATGTTCATGATGCCAGTCATCCTGAAGTATGCCGCGGGTTACTGTAGCCAACTGAAGCAGTGGTTTCTGGGAAGGCTCCACTTTGAACCAAGCAAATATGTTCGGACGATTGACTACACATGCCGCTCAGGCTCATCATGGTACTGGGACAGGGACAACAACAGGAACAAAGTTCTGCAGGTGAGTGTATTCTTGTCTGGATTTCTTGCGGGATGACTGGCAGCAGTTTGGACAAGGACAGGGACTGATCTTTCGCCATTGCGTGTGGTGTACGTCATTGCATCTGTCGTCCCTCTGCCAACTGCACGTCATAGTGTCTATCAGTAAAGTGTGGGGATGTTGGATGTTATGTGGACCAACAGTGCAAGACTTTTTGATTTGTCTGTTTCTGATGTCACCAAGAACTTTGGGAAGTGCGCACCATTGCATGCACCACTGAATGGGCACTTGAATGGTATTCTTTCTAATTCTCTTGCGTTTTGCTTCTGGCCATCAGGATAGCATCCTCATGTTTCTGGACAGCAAACAAGATGTTGTTGAGCAATTCAAGGTTGCCGGCTTTAAGTTGACGACTGCAGCAGCAGATGAAGAGGGCTCGGACCACTCAGATTACTTGGACTCAGACTCGTACGGAGGACAAGGGGACGGAGATGATGAAATTAGGAGATATAGAGTGCAGGTTGTGCCTCCAGAAAAAAAGTGGTTTGATGTCGAGCCAGACATTCAGTTCATGAAGTAAGTGCTGCCCTGCATCTTTTGCCACATCAGCATCCAACTGTTTCAACTTATCCTGTGTCCAAGTTGCAACTGCGCAGCGAATTTTCAAGCACGATCCATCCTCCACAGTCTTGTTGTAGCATGCCACTCTTGTGAACTATCAGAAGTTAGTGCCCTTTCACTCAAGGACTGTTTTGCCACATCAACAGGTCCAAGACTGAAAAGTTCGTGGGAGACAGGAAGGTTGGGAGTGTCGTCACGTTCACTTTTCAGACAAAGCTGAGAGATGGACGGGGCAGGATTGGCCACTTTGTGGACAGGGCACTTGCAATGTACAAAGACAGGATGGGGAAGAAGAAAGACACAGCCAGGTGGGTGACACCTGTGGCTTTCTTCTTTTGTCCAGACATGCCAGGGAGACACCAGAACAGCCGTTCAGTACAGTTTCGTGTTGTTCAGTTTCAGTTTCGTGTTTCGATGTTGATCGTTCGCTGTTGTTGGGCCAAGACGTTTGTTGTCAGTCTCACTATGGACGTGCCGTCATGTTGCAGGTACTTTTACACACCCCAATTTGCAATGGATGCCGACAACAACAACAACGACACAGGCATGATGTACAAACGCTACCGGCTATCAGAAGATAGAACGTTCGACTCCTTCTTTCATCCTGAGAAAAAGGAGATCCTAAGGCTGGTCGATCACTTTGTGCACAAGCAAGGGAAGTTTGGGATCCCTGGTTATCCCCACAAGCTCGGTCTGCTCCTCCACGGTCCCCCTGGCACTGGCAAGACGTCCCTGATTAAGGTGTGTATGCTGTTGAGCTCTATGTGCAGTCTTGTCTTTGGATTTGATGACGCGACAATGGTCAATCCACCTTGCACCACATCACGTCAGAAACCTGCTCTTCCGCCAGAAGAGCTCGCCACTTCTGTTCCGCCAGGACAACGCCAATAGTGAGGGCCATGCAATTTTGTATGCAGTGTTACAAGAATCGGATGCACATTCGTTTCGTGCTGTCACGTCCCCAGTGTGTGTCTCCTAAGTTCCTCTTCATCATGTGCAGGCTCTTGCCCAGTACACGCACCGCCACATTATCAGCATCCCATTGTCGAGGGTGCGCACGAATCAAGAGTTGATGGACCTCGTCTTCGATCAGTCGTGCACTGTGAAGGGCGATAGCATGAAGTACAAGCTGCCGTTCAAGAAGACGATATTCGTGATGGTAGGAACCGACCGGTTTGGAAATTTCAGCAGCAACGTCACGCAATCGGGTTGATATTGGACACTGCATCAACTACCGCATTTGCGGAGCCTCCGCCACGACATGGAGTACTTTTCGGCTGATGAGTCAATATGCCAGGCTTGTTATTGACCGAAGACTGACCAGTTTGTTGTTGCCTGTGAGCAGGAGGACATCGATGCCGCATGTGATGTCGTCAAGAAGCGCACCAGCGCGGCCCCCCCGAGTGAAAAGGAAAAGGCCCCAATCGGCCCACAAAGCGACCCAAAGGTGCGGCTCCTGCTGTCTTGTGCTGTGTTGAAACTGGCGTTATGGCTCTGCCCAAGGTAGGGCTTGCTAACTGGTGGTTGTATTGGTTTCTGCAGCTCTCCATTCAAACATGTATTGACATATTCGTGTGCAACAGAAAGCAAACGGGAAGGGAACAGGGACGTTGAAAAATGCCGACCCCCCCGCGAGTTCCAGCGGCGATAAGGATGATGTAAGAGTGACCTCGTTAATGGACAAGCTGCGGGGGGAAAAGGACGAACTCAACCTTGCCGGAATCCTCAACGTTCTTGATGGCGTGGTGGACAGCCCGAACAGGATTGTGGTGCGTTTCGTACCCCAAATGTACAGCAAGATGATGTACAGGATGATGTCATGGTATTGCTGAATAGTTTGGGTAACGATTGCCAAAGATATGAGAACGCAGTGGGTTTGTCATGTCTTGAAAATGTAATCAGAGCATACATTTGAATCGGTTAACATATCCGGCCCCCCATTTCAATTTTGTCTTAAAGCGCAGTCCCCAAGCTGTAGGAGCTCAGATGGGCTGACCAAGTGCAACCGGATGCCTATCGCAGGTCATGACGACAAATCACCCAGAGAAACTGGATCCTGCCCTGATCCGGCCTGGTAGGGTGAACAAGCAACTATACCTCGGCTACCTGCGGCTAGAGGAAGCATTGCAAATGGTGGAGCACTACTTTGGTGAACTGACGGAGGCGGACAAGCACAACTTCACCAGTGTCTTTCCCAACTTCATGATGTCTCCGGCGGCTCTGGAAAGCATTTGCGCAGCGTGCGATGCCGTAGACGACCTTGTGAGGTGCATAAAGGACGAGCGCACAAAGTACATGTCGCCACAGAACCCGGCAGGTTGTCAAGGCAATTCTGTTTGTGGTGTTGTCGGTGCCTATGGGGCACAGGGAAAGATTGGGGACGGAGGTGGGATGGCTGAGGCCGGGCCCATCGCGCCGATTGCTGCGCCACAGACGAGATTCAACTCACCATTGAGCCCGGGATTCTAGAAGTTGATGCCTGCTGATGCGCAGGTTGTTGCGTATTGGGAGAAGAACAGAGAGGCTATGCTAAATTTTTCAACGGGTAGTGTATTCTAGCAGAAATTCGGGACTGCGAGAACTGGTGCGCTTCCATCAAGCGCAAAATAGACAGATGAATATTTGCTGTAAAATTGGTCGAGGTGGTGTATGCGTGATCCGGCACCCGTTTCCCATTTTCACACGGACTGCAGTCCTCTGGCCATGCTCCCCCACGAAGCCCCCTATCGAGGACAGTTTGCACCAGAAGAATTACATTGGGAGGATTGTGCGTGGACATTTGAATATTGTAAGCCTGGCGTCAAATGGACGCTAAAAGGGGAGGGTCCAGGCCGTGGACATTAAGAGATGCCCTAATTGCAAGAAAATCAAAGTAAAAAGGCCCAAAGAGGTCCAAGACGCTTTCAAGTGGGCTTGGTCTTTACGTTTTCGGCTTCATTTTCACGTTTTTTACATGTAAATAGAGACATGTCCATTTGTATGGCCATACTTACGCATATTTACGGCTTATCGACACGCCCAAATTACATGATGATGTTTCAAACAATGATGACTTTTCCAGCTCCTCAACCACCGGCAACACTCCTCGGGCGTCCACCTCGCCCTTGGCAAGGCAAACGGCGCCTTCCAGCAAAAGGCCCTTTCCTGCACATTTCAGCGCGTCTAGCTGCCACTCCCTGGGACTCCCTGGGACTCCCTGGGACTCGCAGTCGTTATGTACTGTCTTTAACTGCACAAGGACGACCCTCAGTGTTGTGATTGCAAACTTACTCACACAAAACCTAGCCATCTACTAGCGCTGTGCAAGGGCACAGCCCTCAGCATATCAATCATAAAGGTTTACTGACAAATCTGCCCCGCTTGCTGAGATGTGGCTGGTTCGTCGAGGCGCATGTGCAAAGTTCCTTGAAGCAATTCTTACCAAAATGCAGAAATGCGTGTACATTATGTGATGACGTGAGTGCCAGTTCCCTGCTTTGGGGACCACTAAAAGGGGGATTTGAGTGGTGCCATCCAGTGGGCGTTTGAGAGCGGTTTGCCACCAGAGGTTTGCGTCACTGGTTGCTCAAAGTTGCTGTGGGATTGTCTAACGCGCTCAAAACCAGCCAAGCGAACGTGAGCAGCACAGGCGTTTGGATCCACGGGCGAAGGCAAATGGGTTTGGACGCGACCACAGCACCCACAACAGCAGCGATCGTGGCATGTGCCGCAGTTTCGCAATTGCAGCACGGATCGCATTCGTAATCACAAGGGGCAGCCAGCTCCTGCCTTGTGGATCTCTGGTATTTGACAGCAATCCCTCCCCCCTGCTATGGTGCGTGGGGCTCACGCTCCAATCCCGTACCCCGCATGACAGTCGCTGGGATCCCTGACTTCGCCTCAACTGCCAGCTGCCGTACAATCTCCACGACGAGGTTTGGGCCCAAGCCCCGAACAGGCCTTTGACGGGACGGGCGCACGGCACCAGCCTCCATGGCCGCGTACAGTCACATCACCTCAGCGATGTCTCAAACAGGGACAGCTGCCCATTAGCTCCCCGCGGCACACGGACAGGCGCTGGGTACCTGGCAGCTGGGTTCCAGCTCCGTCTTGGTGGGCGGCCCCTGTCCAGGGCCTTAAATGGCCAGCAGACAAGGACAGCTGTTCAGTGTTGCAAGCGCACAGCGCAGGTCTGTCGAGAGCGTTAACAGCCTCCACAGCGGGGTGTTGGCGGATTCGCAAGTAGGAGGCTGCGCATGCCGCGCTCGCGCAATGCTCGGCGATGGGCACGGCGGCATGTTTTGCGCCGGCACGTCCCCGTTTGGCGACGCGGAGAACTGCGCGCCGCCACCCGCGCTCACAGATCGACTAGCCTTGCTGCGGTATTCGGCTGCGTGTCAATCAAGGCGCACCCTGTCTTTCCTTGACTTCCATGTCATAGGAAGCCGGCCCCATTGTTGCAGATGGAGTTAGCCCCAATTGCCATCTGCCGTGCCGAATAGTGGTCAAATGGCCATGCTCGACTGAGGTGGGCCACGATCACGGCAGCTAAGTTTCGGGTAACGCAGTGGCGTTTGCAATCCGGCTGTTCGCGGCGAGAACCGTGACGCACCTGACTTCTGGTGCTGCCTGGGCTTCTGGAAGACCGTCGCCGTCTGTGCACGGTGCTGACAGGCTGGGTTCTCACCGGCGCAGGTTCGCCCTCCTGCGACCTTTGAATGCCAGCGGCGGTGATCGATGCTATGGACGCCGGACTTCTCACCCAGTTCGGGATCATGCAGAAGATTTCCACGGGGAACATGGTTTTTGACATGGCCCTGATGTTCATGATGCCTGTCATCCTGAAGTACGCAGTGGATTATTGGGGCCAACTGAAGCAGTGGTTTCTGCAGAAGCATAACATTGTGCCGAGCAAGTATGTTCGGAAGATTGAGTACACACGCCACTCGGGCTGGTCATATTACTCGGACAGTGACAACAACAGGAACAAAGTTCTGCAGGTGAGTGCATGTGTTTCTGGATTTGTGTTCTACGTTGGTGGCAGCACTTTATGCATGAACTTTGGCCATGGAGTGTAGTGCATGTTGTTGCACCCATCATACCCACTCCCCACTGCAAGTCCTGTGACAATTAGTTCAGGCAGCTGAATGTAGAGGTGCTGGGTGTTGTATGGACCAACCCTACAGGACTTTTTGATGATGCCGAGGAGACTTTAGCGGTGCACGCAAGGGTACACACTTCCCAAAGGGGCATTTTGATCAGGGCTCTTTCTGATCCTCTGTGTTTGGTTTCTGGCGATCTAGGATAGCATCCTCATGTTTTTGGATAGCAAACAGGATGTTGTCGAGAAATTCAAGGATGCGTTCTACAAGTTGACGACTGCGGCAGCAGTGAGAGAGGACAGCATTGATGACTCGGACTCAGACTCGGACGGAGGACGAGGGGGCGAAATCAGGAGATACAGAGTGCAGATAGTGCCTCCCGAAAACATGTGGTTCGACGTCGAGCCAGACATTCAGTTCATGAAGTAAGTATTGCCGTCCATCTTCTGCCACAGCAGCATCCATCGGCGCCAGCGTATCCAGTTTGCAAGTTTTACCTGCAATGTGAATTGCTTCAAGTACAAGTCCTGCACAATGTTGCTTTCACGCTCCTCGCCTGTAAACTGTGACGAACAAATGTCCTTTCTCTCATGGCCTGTCTTGCCGCATCAACAGGTCCCAGACTGAAACAGGCGAGGGAGACAACAAGGGCAAGACTGTTGTCACGTTCACTTTTCAGACAGAGCTGAAGGATGGACAGGCGAGGATTGACGACTTCGTGGACAGGGCGCTTCAAATGTACAAAGACAAGATGGGGGAGAAGAAGGACACAGCCAGGTGGGTGACACTTGAGGACTTCCTCCTTTGTCCATACATACCAAGAAGACACCAGGACAGCAAGTCAGTCCGTTCGGGTACTGGGACGTTGCTGCTGTTGGGCCAAGGCGGCTGTTGTCAGTCTCATTGTTTATGTGACGTCATGTTGCAGGTACTTCTACACCCCCCAATTTTCGTATTCGAGGGGAACGGATGCCGAAGACAAGAATACCGGGATGATTTACAAGCGCTACCAGCTCTCAGAAGAAAAAACGTTCGATTCCTTCTTTCATCCTGAGAAAGAGGAGCTCCTGAGGCTGGTGGATCACTTTGTGCACAAGAAGGGGAAGTTTGCGATTCCTGGGTATCCCCACAAGCTGGGAGTGCTCCTCCATGGTCCCCCTGGAACTGGCAAGACGTCCCTGATTAAGGTGTGTACGCTGTTGAGCTCTATTTGCAGCCTTATTTTTGGATCTGATGAAATAACGGTAGGCAATGCAAGTTTGCACCACATCATATCAGAGAACTGCTCTTCAGCCATAAGAATTCGCCACCTCTCTGCTGCCATGGAAATGCTTAGCATGTAGTCTTGCAAGAATCGCTGGTACCCTCGTTTCATGCTGACATATCATCGATATGTTCTCCTAACGTTCCTCTTCATCACGTGCAGGCTCTTGCCCAACACACGCACCGCCACATTATCAGCATCCCACTGTCGAGGGTGCGCACGAATCAAGAATTGATGGACCTCGTCTTCAATCAGTCGTGCAGTGTCGAGGGCGACAGCTGGAACTACAAGCTGCCGTTCAAGAAGACGATATTCGTCATGGTAGGAACCGATTGGCTTGGAATTCTCAACAGCAACGTGACGCGATCAGTTCGTTGCTGGGCACTGCCTGAATGACCACATTTGCAGAGCCTCAGCCCTGTCATGGACCTGTCGATGAATCAACTTTCCTAGCATGTCCAATGTACCTGACAGCATGTTGACCAGTTTGTTCTTTACTTGCGAGCAGGAGGACATTGACGCTGCATGTGATGTTGTCAAGAAGCGCTCCAGCTCAGCTCCCAAGAGTGAAAAGGCGAAAGCCCCCATTGGCCCAGAAAACGACCCAAAGGTGAGACTCATGCTCTCCTATGTGAGGTTGGAACTGGCGTTTTGGCCTTGGCCAAGGGCAGTCATCCGTTACCAGTGCTTTAGATTGTTTTCTGGAGCTCTTCAATCGAACATGGACTGACAAACTCACGTGTGATAACAGAAAGCAAACGAGAAGGGAACAGGGACGACGAAAAATGCCGACCCTCCTGCGAGTTCCAACAGCGACAAGGGTGATACGAAATTGACTTCGTATGTGGACAAATGGCTGGCCGAAAGCGACGACCTGAACCTTGCTGGAGTCCTCAACGTTCTCGACGGTGTGGTGGACTGCCCGAACAGGATCGTGGTGAGTTTCGTGCCTCTAATATACTGCGCGATGCTGTCAGGATATTGCTGAACTGTTTGGGTAACCATGGCCAAAGATGTGAAAACGCGGTGGGCTTGTCGTGTGCTGGCAATGTAATCGCAAGGGATGCATTTGAATCAGTTAAAGCATCCAGCGCCCCCACTTCAATTTCATCTCAAAGCGCAGCCCCCAACTTGTAGGAGCTCAGGTGGGCTGACCAGGTGCACTCGGACGCATATCGCAGGTCATGACAACAAACCACCCAGAGAAACTGGATCCTGCCCTGATCCGGCCCGGGAGGGTGAACAAGCAACTGTACCTGGGCTACCTGCGGCTGGAGGAAGCGTTGCAAATGGTGGAGCACTACTTTGGCGAACTGACGGAGGCAGACAAGCACAGCTTCGCCAGCGTGTTTCCCAACTCGGTGATGTCCCCGGCGGCTCTGGAAAGCATGTGCGCAGCGTGCGATGTCGTGGACGACCTTGTGAGGTGCATGAAGGACAAGCACCCAGAGTGTGTGTCGCCACAGACGCCGGCTGGGTGTGGAGGCACTTCTGGTTGCGGTGTCGTCGGTGGCTGTGGGGCGCTGGGAAAGATTGGGGACAGGGTCGGGGTGGATGGGGTCGGGCTCTCCACGCCGATTGCCGTGCCGTAGACGAGGTTCAACACACCATTGAGTCCCGGAGTTCGGGAATTGAAATCTGCCGGTGCGCAGGTTGTTGCCTTCTAGGTGAGAAGAAAAGAAGGACTGTGCAGAACTGTTCAACGGGTAGTGTATTCAAGCAGAAATCTGGGATTGCGAGGTCTGGCGGGCTTCCATCAAGCCCAAAATAGACTTGTAGATCTTTGCTGTAAAATTGGTTGCAACGTGAACGAAGCTGAGGTGTTGTGTGCATGATACGGCGCCCGTTGTGCATTTCAACACGGATTGCGGTGCCCTGGCCATGCTCCCCCATGAAGCGTCCCATCAAGAGATGGCTCGCACCAGAAAGAGTGCACTTTTGGGGACTGTGAATGGACTCCTACAAGCGCACCAGACGTATTTTCCCAAAAAAAAATGGGTCCACTGCCCCTGTTCGGGAGCCCCTATCGCAAAGCAGTCTGAGAAAGTACCCTGTTGCGTCATCCTCATTGCAAAACTCACGAATCGTCGATGATGTCCAGGCGCTCGCCGTGGGTGAATCGAACAGCTCATAGGTTGAACAGTGAGCCTGAAAGTTGCAAAATTGCCCTGGTACATGCTGCCACAGTTAGAAAATCCAACAGCTGTGGTGCCCCGTAATCGGGCCATTTGCAAGCGGCATTCATTCATGGCAGCGCTTATGCATCGCAGTGTGATGATCGCATGCATCCTACCGCAATACGAAGTGCCCGCGAATGTCGCGATATCAGAGCACGCTCTGTGGCGGAAATTCAACGCAGCACACCACATTCCACAACACGCATCCAACGACTGCTCGTCTTCTGACGATTTTCGGTACACTCGAAAATGCATGATGATCGAGCCGACGATGGCAATATCTATGCCAATTGGCGTGCCGCACTGCTGCAAGGGCTGTCCAATCGCACAGTGCCCACCAACTTTGCGGACCCACGCAATCCATTTATTACAGCCCGAATGCAAAGATTGCGCCGTCTCCACTGCGTTTGCACACGGCTTCGTCCATCCATGGAGGCTCGTTCAGACCACGGACCACTCGCCATTCTTTGCGCCTCCCAATACTGTACGCGTCTCCTGCGCCATGGCGCACATACTGCAGCAGCACCACAAGGCACAGTCCTCGGCATTGGTCCCTGCGGCAGGGAGTGCAAGGAAAAGCGTCACGAACACCGGGGGTGAATGGGAGCGATGCACCATATGGCGCGTGCTCTGCTGTTGTATCGTGCTGCGCGGTTGCTGTCAGGTAGCCATTGATGCCGCGGCAAACCGAGCGCACCGTGGTCTATCGGCAAGCAACAGTACCGCAGCGAAAACTAGTGTAAAAATTCTGGCAGAGTTGATGCAGCAACAATAAATGATGATTGGCACTAATTGGTGGTGTTTGCATTCGCCAGCGCGTTTGTTGGCACAAGCAACAAGGGAACAACCCGCAGGCGACTGCTGAGAGGCGGCACCAGAATGGGAGAATAGGCCGCCAACAATTATGCCATGATTCCACAGGGTTTCCACCGGAGAAGTATCGATGACCCATCACCCTTCCTACCTGGAAGATTAAACTTCTTTCGAATGTTGGATCTCATCACGGCACCAACAGTGGAGTAAATCACCCAGCAAACAGCTAAGTAGGACATCATTCCAATGATTGCATTCTGGCTCAACCCGCTCGTCTTCTGGCAGTGCATCTCTCTTGTGCTTGTGTTGTACGTGCACTGCGTTTTGACGAAACTGCTCGCGCCAACCGACCCCATGTAGTAGAAAGGAAAGAGCAGGAACAGGATGACCACGCTCCACATCCACACAGAGTGCCCAAAGGCCGCCTTTCTCACAAAACTGCATTGGAAATGGTCCAACGACATCAGTCTGCCAGTCAGGCGGAGGGCTAGTGCATCCATCTCGTGACATAGACTCAAGGAGTTAAAAACTCACAATGCAATCCAAGAAAGATGCCACTGTTTCCGAACGTGTGCACCTTTGGAGCTATGAGGGATGACGTCTGGCGGTGCAAGATATTCATGGCAACCCACCATGTGGTTGTTGCCTGCATTGCACTTCAGGCTGAGTGGTAAAGTACGTCACCGATATATTAGTATTCATTCTTAAATTACTTCGAAATAGCAGTTTTCATTCTGTTGTACTTGCAAACGGCACGGCGTACACCACGCCTACATTTCATCCATGCGTCAGTTAACGCATTATGTTGCTGGCACCGAACGTGTGATAAGCTTCACAGATTTGGATGTGAGCACGAATAGATGCACAGTAGTTGCATGCCCATGTGCATGCACAACCACGTGTTGATTTACCAGCGGCGGTTTTGTAGATGCTGGAGCACGTGAACAGGGACCGTTACAAATCAATCGAGAAACACTCCACAGCAATGCAGTGCAGCAAGGAAACCAAATTTTCTCAGCCTGTATCGAATTCGCGTCTTCGTTGTGCACCGCGCTGATGGTCGGAATGTATTGAAGCCCTCCATTTCAAAACCAAAAGAGCACTGTGGGCATGGTCGTGTCGAATGTATTGTTAAGAACAACCCTATCAATACAGCTTCTCACTGTGCCAGACAACAGCCCGCACCTAGGCCGCAGAAAGATGCCCACCATGTGCAATTAGTCATGCACCAAGAAATGCCCGTGCTTGTCGCTGCCATGTCTCACTGAGCAGCGTTTTGTATACAGAATTTGATGCTTCCCACCACGGGGAGACAAATTTGAAGAGCTGGACAGAAACCTTTGAATCTAAACCCACGGATTTCGAGTCGCAAAGCCGCCCACAACCCTCCGCAAAGCTTGGGACGACCGCCATTCTGACGTCTGTAAATCCAAACCGCAGACCTCGGGCAAGGAGTCCGGCCTCCTCCCTGGACCTTCCCCGCGTCCCCGCGCCCGCGAGCCGTCCCGTCGCAATGGCTGCCAGCCGCAGCATGGACACCGCGCGCGCTCCGCGCTGTCGCTTCCGGGCGCGGTACCGCGGCGACGCGGGAATTCCCACAATGGTGGCGCGCGCGCGAATCCAGCATGGGAGCGCGATTTCGTACCCTTGTGCGATGCATGGGCACGATGAGCTGAAGGTGTAGCTAGACCATCCCAGCACATCGCAATTCCCGCACAAGTAGTACCACGGCATGTGCCACCCGCGCTTCCCCATCGACTCCACTTTGCCGCTGGAGCTGTCCGCGGCGCCGAGGAGGCTCCCCCCAGCCCTGTCGCCCCTTGCCCCCTGGTGGGACGACATGCTGTCCCTGCCCCTGGATCTCAGCGCGGATGCGTTCCGCCGCCGCTCTCCAGCCCCGCCTGCTGTCGTGCCCCGCCCCCAATCGCCCCTCTGAAATGGACACGCCGGATGGATTCGGCGCCAGGCGGGGCCGGGCGACATGCCCTGCCCGGCGCCGGGATCGATGGGACGCCCCGCAGTCATGATGCGATCACATCGAATGCCATGGATCAGGGTCGGCTGTGCAGCCCACTCAACGTGGGTCTCCCCAAATGTACTGGGGATGCCCAGTCGGCAGGGTTGTTATCGCGCGCTTGTTGGGCAGCTGTGTGCGGTCCCTTGCAGCATGCTTTGCGGCGGGGGAGCCGTTGTCTGGCATGGGCAAAGCAACTCCCGCACCCACGTTTCATTCTCAAGCCCGACCCAGTTCGTGCGCTCGGAGAGGAGGCGCGAGAACCGTCATTTGCCACATCTGCGAGTTGTTGTGGGCACCGTGAACGGCTCTGGGCGTCTCTTGGTTCCCACCCCTTCATCACAGCTGTCATACAAAATGTGGCTGCTTTTCCCAAATGTGGCTGTGCTGTTTTTTTGAAAGGCACGGCGCCGTGTGTATTTTCGCCCTCATCCTGACCTTCCTATCTGCCGGTCTGCCTTACCATCTTTAGCGGGTTCACCCGAGTCTGTACCTGTCCTGTTCCACCGCAGGAGTGTGCACACGCCGCGCGCGGCCATGGGGAGGTGCCCTTCTCCTGACCACTCGATGGAGATGTTCTTGAACGTCTTTTCGGATACTAAAGCCACGGGGCGATGCCTCGTTTACACGTGTAAGAGGAGCCGGAGAGGGACAGCGAATATTTGATGCCATCATTTCCCCGATGTTGCGAGCGGTGACCCCGTGGATTATATTTGCCAACAGGCGTCGCCAAGAAAGCTTTTCATCTTGCAAGGGATGGAGGGCGTATAGCGTCCAAGCAGTGTCCGTTCAATGTCGACAGACCATATGTCTGCGAAGTCCGCAGTGCGGACCGCCCTTTTCCACAGGTTGATAAGTGTGGCAATGCTGCTTGGAGCGGTCCTTCCATGGATTGGACGTTTTAGATTGAATTTTCCGTTGGGTTGGATTTGGACTTATTTTGTTTTGCCTTCAAAGAGGCATGATCAAGAAGGTAAATGCACTTTGGAGGCGATGACGGGCGTAGAAGCAGCCATGCAGAGGTGGAAAAACTCCTCATATGATGTTGTACATATCGCTCATTTCCACAGTGTGAAAAGGATGACGGACCATCCGAAGGAAACCCACTCGATGCCAGGCAGCAAAAGGAACTTAAAGTAAGAAGAGAGGAGGAATCAGAAGAGCAGAGCGCTGTATAAGTAAATGCCGTGTCTTCGTTGTGATTATCGTGAAAGAACTTGCCTGGTCAGCCACCTCCATGGGCTCGGCAGCGCCAATCATCTGACAGCTATGCCTGTCACTTAGATTGTTTTTAATGCAAACTCAAGGGAAGCCATAGCCGTCAGATATGCAAACAGAAAACACAACAATTAATAGCAGAATACTTCTGCTTACTGCTACTTGGCAAACACTTGACACACCACCTGGATTTTTGTATGTACCCATATGAAGCTTCTCCGCTAAAACTTGACCAATATTCAGGACATTCAGGGTATACTTATCATTCGAAATTGCGATCTGTGCGATCCACACAATGCCTGTGGGAGCTCTGTGACAATTTGTGAAAGTGGATGCATGCGCGATACTTGCCCAACACCTGGCGCACGATCTGCTGCTTGCCCTGCGGGCTTCCATTCACCTGTGCAGTCGTGTTCTCTGTTTAAGGCACCGAAAGTAAGGCAATTTCCCTCGCGTGAGGCCAACCTTTTGCCCAATAACCCTTGGCACATTTTCGTCCTAAGCCAGCACTTTGCCGACACTCAGACGGCGCCCACCAGCATTTGAAAACTTTTGAAACAACCCCAACACATGCCAAACGTGCAACAATAGTTTGAGTATGGTGGAGATAATGTCGAACTCTCTCCGCTTCCACCCGGAGCGGGACTACATTCTCTGCGGCACCTCTGGAGAAGATCGCTGTTAATTGTGATTCCTGCGGCACACTACTCCGCATAAAATGGTCAACACTAAAGTGATGTTCATAGCAGCAAACTCTGAAGGCTTTCGCCAGGCCTCAGTTTTGGGGCTCTTTGCAAAAGTTCTATTGAGAACTACTCACACTCGGACTGATTCAGACCAGTGGTGGTCCAGTAAAGGCAGCCCGAACAAACCCAGACAGAAGTGGCGGATTGGAGACCACGTCTCAGTTCAAAACGTCTCGTTTGGGTGGACACGGCTGGTCTTAACGGGGCCCAAGTCTGTGTTCAATCCTGATAGAGTCACCTCAGGTGACGTGCTTTGCGTGGCACGTTTGCGGCAAGGACGCGCCTTAGTCAGGCGCACGGACACGCACACACCGGCGCATTACATAAGTGTGGTGGCCATCACACAAGCCACTGAGCCGTTCTCCGTGCGGCCCTTTCACAGGCAAAGATCCCGGAGCTGTATTCTTGCAGGCGGTGGGCCCAGCCTTGGCGGACACACGCAAGGGCCGGTGCAAATCGGAACCTGTTGGATGGTGGCGGCAAGTGAGGGAGTTGAACGAGACACGCTTTTTCGTCTGCGCGGCCAAGTTACCGTCGACAGCGTGGAGCGCGTGGGCACAATTTGGTCACTCGTGCGCGGTGAACGGGGCGCCGGAACTGGTGCGTTGTCGCCGTGGGTGCCCCCGAAATGCCCTAAAACGGCAATCTCAGGCAGAGGGCGCGGGGTGCGCTCTCTAAGGAGGCTGAATTTTGTTCCATGCGTTGCGCGTCCTGGTGTGTGAAGCCCCTGTCGTTGTCAGTCACGCACGAGAATTTCTTTCGTTCGTGGCAACTCAACGGGATCGCTCGCCAGAACTGCTGCTGTTCTGCGCGCATTTGACGACGACGCTTGTGCTCTGCATCGCACGCGAACGAGGCAACAAGAGCCGCAGCGCGGGCAGCCTGCTGTGCTGTGGCTCATGGGTTAACGAAATGGCCGCAGCAGGTTCTCCTGGCATGCTGTGACAGAACAACCATCGCTGTACATCCCACAATTTTCATCTTGCACTCTCTGGGGATTCCCTTGTGCTCATGCAATTAGGGTCCCTGCAAAGCCCGACGGGCTGTTGTGTCCCCTTGCTACAAGCAGTTGCCCTGCTTGAGATATTTGGTGACCACCTGAAATTTTGATGTCAGAGGCAGCGACAAGTGCAGTTTACAAAATGGCGCAGAAGCCACAAAATGCAGAGCTCAATAGGTATTTCGGGTTGGCAACATGGCACCCGTTTCCAGCTTGCAGCAGTAGTAGACACTAACGCAAGGCTCTCCAACTGCACTTGGACAAACATGCAACGGAGAATAGCAGGTGCTGTAGCCCAAGTTTCGTTGCCAAACTGCCTGTCGTGCGTTTGGTTCGCACAGAGTTGATGTCTCCTGCACTAAAGGGAAGATCAGATGCCACAGCTCTAGCTGCGACAGCCCTTAGAGAGCTGGTCCCCATAGCAGGCAGCATATGCTAGTTTGTTGGCGCTGGACGTAGGTTTTGGTAATACCTGAATTTTGTGGCGCTCTCTTTTACAGTTCGTAGATGCATGGACGTCCTGAGCCAGGTTTAGGCTACAAAGCCCATCACAGAGTGGGTGGTTGGGAAGGAGGGAAATCCTCATCACGCTATTGGTATTGGGGTATGATTTGCCATTGCTGGCAAGTGTGCCAGAGAGAACTGCATTGCCATGCATGAATTCAGAAAATTCATTTCTGATATGAGAGATTGGAGACACTGTAGCCCCTTTTGCGCGGTGGGATGCTCTTGGCAACATACCTTGTGGACAAGCAGAGGGTTGTCTTACGAGAGCACTGTAGTGAGCTGTCCGGCAAGGCAACCTTCAGAATGTTGGCAAATGTGCAGCTTGTATGTTAGAATTTCTTTGGCAGTGGGGCCTGTCAGTTAGTGAAGGCGATTGTTAGCATGTAACAGTGTTGATGGGGTCCCCAACTGATGGATATGTTGATAGCATAGAAGCACGATGTTCCTGTTCTTAAATGCTGGACATTTCTCTTGGATCATGATGATGTGTGGGGCTGGCGAAGTCTATGGGCTGGACGTGCATATGCGCTGTATTGCTGCTTGGTATGCTGATGTGTCAATGTGTGAATTGTCCCTTTTTTTGTGGTGCTCAATGCAAGTCCTGTTAATCCTGCTCAGTGTCAACCTCTTCACATGGTGTGGAAATTCTCTCGCCAAGTTGTCCTTTGAGGGGGGTGCCCCCTTATTGTGAGATTTGTTGCCTTCCTTAAAAGCCAACCTTCAACCTGCAGCTTGAAATTTTCTATTTCCTCTAGGCACCCCACGTGCAGTATCCTGATGCAGCCAAACTTTGGTGTACTGAATCCACAGAAATGCTATTTCTTCAGTGCTGTTGCAGGCAAGGATATCGCTTGTGGCATCAAGAATTCAAATAGCGGCATCTCTTAATGTAGCACTTGGATAATGTTGACAAGGGCCAGCTGACAGCTGTTCTAAGCGACACGTCCTTGTGCTCTTCACAGGTCCAAAGCAATCTCATGTGGCAAACTCCGGGGGCTGTTTGCATTGTCTGTTGCCTGCTGTTCATTGGGACCCTTGCCAATGGGCAAAGCTGCCTAGCCAGCAATGGCGATGCCAGTATTGCTGTCAATAGTTTTGGCCTGGCATTGTTTCAGTGCATCAAGAATGCCACTGGAGAAGCCAACACAGTCTTCTCCCCTCTCAGTGTGTCCACTGTTGCTTCTTATGTTTCTCTGTTTGCTAATGGGACAACAAAGGCAGAGGTGGATGAGGTGTTCAGATTTGACTCAGAGGGCACCATTCCAAGGACACTAATTGCACAGCCATGGGACACTGGTTCCACTGTTGGTGAAGAGACTGGCAATCTGGCGATTGTCAATGGTTTGTTTCTCCAGGAGGATCTGGAGGTTGAGAACAGAATTGTGGACAGTGCAGGGGATGCGGTCAAGAAGGTGGATTTCAGTAACTCAGAGGGAACCAGACAGAGCATTAACAGCTGGGCAGAGGACAGCACAGGCGGCTTGATAGAGGAATTGCTACCTGTGGGCTCACTGGATGCACAAACAAAATTTGTTTTGGCAAGCGCTGTTTTCTTCCAAAGCAATTGGGAGCAAACATTTGAACCAAGTGCAACAAAGCAGCAACCATTTCATGGACAGTATGGCGTAGAAGATGCGATGTTCATGTACCAATTCGACAGGACACTCCTGTGGAAGTGGGACCCTGTGGCTGGACAGGTATTGCCACAGCTGCAGGCGAAACAACAGCACTTGTTCTTGCTGGGGCAAGCGAGCATATCAGTGACCATAATCACGGCTGTCTGGCAGTAGTGTGTGCCTCAGATTCCCCCCAGTGAATGACTTCATCAGGAATGCCAATCTAGGTCTGCTTCTCTTTACCTTGCTAATTGTAGAAGGTGCATCCAGCGAAGTGGAGACACATGATGTGTACACAGTATGTGCACCAGATTTTCAAATTGTACGTTTGTGCTATAACTTATTCCATTACTGTTGTACCTGGCCTTATGTGCCAGCTGTTGCCTGCAGAGCCTGGCAACAATATGCCACTGCGGTTGAAATGTCGCTGACAGAATTTGCTGCTGGACAAACATGAGAGTGCTTGCCTTTGTTGCGACTTGCCCCAGGCTCTTGAGCTACCGTATGAGGGTGGCCTCTTCAGTATGTACATTGTCCTTCCCGACACTGGCAACAGTGTGGCTGCGGTCGCGGAAGTGATGTCAAGGGGAAACTTTGGCCAGTGGCTCACAGAGGGCTACAGTCAAACGCTCTTCACTACTGTTGTCATTCCGAAATTTGAGATCGAGCTGTCGCTGGATTTGACAACAGCACTGCACAAGCTTGGTGTCAAGGATGCCTTTGATGCTTTGAAGGCGGACTTCACCCCAATTACGAAGGTAAGAATGTTGGCCAGCACGTTGCAGAGAATGTCCAGGTGTTGCTTTTTGATGCGCTGGCAGAATTCTATGTCGAGAATGTTGCCCCATTGACAAAATGCTGAAATTCCACTGCCAAGGGGCTCATGGGTACTTTTGACATCCACATTCTTTCCAGACTGTGAAGCAGTGAGTTGGGCAGCCGGCCCACATTAGTGGCACATTTGCAAGCACTGGCGACTCACTTAACGTTGATTGCGAAGGTGTGATGTTCTAGATGGCTCTGAAATGTGAGGCTGCTGTTTGATGCCATTGTGTTCAACGTTCGCGTGTGATGTCACACTGGTCGATTGGCAGAAAGGCTGGATGGCCAAGGGGTTGTGTTGTTGATTGTAGCAAGACATCCTTTTAGTGATCTGTGTTTCTAAGTCATACTGTATATGTTCTGCAACTGTTCCCCTTGACACACTGTCAGAAAATCACGAGTTCGACAACCATGTGGAGGTCAAAGTGGCCTGGGGAGATTGGAGTACCTGCCTTGAGACTTTGTTCCTTTCATGGCAGTGTTGCTTGTCCTGCTGTGCTTTGTAACTACCTGCCTTTTCTCTACAAAATTCTGTAGGCACTCGTTTCAGGCACAAACATGACGCCATGGGTTTTTTCAACGCCTCTCTTTTCTGTTGTGGTGCCAGGATGTGCCGTTGCACATCGACAGTGCAGTTCACAAAGCAAGGATTGTCGTCAATGAGACGGGCACCAAAGCCGCCGGGGTGGCAGCAATTGCAGTGCAGGCGCTGTCGGCACAGATGGAACCTGTGCAGCATTTCGTAGCTGATCGCCCATTCTTGTATTTCATTGTTGACAAGCTCGACTGCATTGTGTTGTTCATGGGAAGTGTGGAAGCAGCGGGGCAGTAGAATTGAGGCTTTTTGGCCTTCATGAGGCTGATGTCAGGAGAGAACAATCTTTTGCTCGAATCTTGCAGCTGTCTTTCTCAATTTGTGAATGGGAAGCCTAAGCAACAGCCCATGGTCGCACCTCGCATCTGATGGACACAATTGTTGCATTTGTGCTGCCGGGCACGTTCTGTAACACCACTCTATTATCAGTCAAGCTTATCGCACATGATGTGAATGTCAATGGCGAAGCCACGGATGCTACTGATTTCTGCAGCTTAATGTCCTCGCAGTGCCTTGGCAACAGTGACGCCTGCGCTTGAGATTTTTGGGCAGCTCCGGTGCTGGTGCCAATGTTATTGGATTGTCTATTGGCGGTTTCAACAACTTTGTTCCTCGAGGCTCACGGTCATTGGTGGCCTTGCATTTGCACCATGTATTGAATGCAGGAACGCCTCCTCGGTCGTTTCACTGTTGAGCTTTAACTCTGCCAATCCCAAGTTTCTGGCGAATGAGTGTTGGAGTTCAACGTTGTGTAGGAGGTGCTACAGACCGTTCAATTGTGACGTAATGTTCCAAGTTACCACAGTTGATGACCCTGGGATCTCGATGGTGCAGTCACATCGACCAGGGATTTCAGTTCCAGGAAGGATTGATGTTTCAATGTGTCGCCAATGGGTTGCTGCTGTCGCCTTGAATACCTTTCCCAGTTTGTGCGCTGCGCGGGAAGAGGATCCTGTCACACAGAAACCCTGTCTTTATGAAAGGGCGCTGACACACCCACCGATCATCTGCGATGGTGCACAGAGGCTAAAAAATGTGCACCGGTGCTCTGTCTATGAGGACACTGCGTTGCGTGTTGACGACCGGTGGCTACGCACAGATCGCTGCAATTCGTGGTATTTGCAGAGTGGCGCAACTGTCGTGGAGTTGATGGTGATCTTGGATCCGTATGTTGTTTCGTTTGCTACTGTTAGGATTATTGCGTTTGTTCAGCCGCTCAGGAAATTTATGGGCCCAGCACATCAATGCGCGAAAGTCAACAGATCAAGGAGTGCATGCTGGCACCAAACTTGGCGCATGTTTGAGAAGGTTGCATGCCAATCGACGTTGCTTGTAAGGATGAAAGGATGTTCACCCTCACGCATTCCAATCAAATAGTGTCTGGAAGGATGGCCCCACTTTGTGGGGAAAGGGCGTTCACAATCCTTTGCTGGAAGGATGTGTCTGGCCCTAGCCTGAAACCATGCAGGAAGTCCTCCGTGAGAGAGAGGCTTTCTGTTTCCCTGTAGACGAATCTGTTGGTCAACGACAGTGTGTCATGGGAATGCTGTCAGCTATCAAGTCCCGGGTCGGCGACGGCGATGCGCCATGCAATCTTTGGGGTGCCGGTGGGGATCAGAATCCGTTCGCCAGCAGGGTCCTTGTCACTTTGGGACCAGCTAGTCAGTAGTCTGCGTTTGAACGTGGGCCAAGGGATCTGTGCATTTTGAGAGAGCTTTCAACCGGAGGCAAAGTTTGCGTTTCAGGTGTTAGTGTTTGCAGCTTTTCAGTCTGCCGGGGGGCAGCCTCCCAACTTGAGGTCCTCAACCATCTTCGTCTATAAAAGTGTGCTCAGCTGCCAATCCTGTGGGGATTGAGTTCGGTTTAAGGATGAACTGAAGTGTGCAAGTAACTCGGTTTTGCCCTGGGTTTCAGAACATTGATTTGAGTCGGGAAGCTGTGTTGAAACTGATATATGATCGTTGTGTTGAGCAGGGCGAACACTGATGAGATTTCATGCAAGTTGGCTGGCGTGCGTGTCGGGTGGTGATTATTATAAGCACATAGCGAGCTAGGTTGCAGTAGGACTGGGGATTGGATGGAAGAATTCGATATCTGCTCTGGTCTGATTCAGTTGGCACTGCGTCTTGGCCAGGGCGCAGCATCGCACCAGATGCGACGTCAGGGAACCTTTGGGCTGAAGACAGTTGATGGCCCAAAGCTCTGCAGGCTCCAGCTGCGAGCTGCGAGTTGCGGCTGTTGCATTTGGGAGGACTTGGGGAGGACACTGCACGTCGTTTTCTCTCCCTCACACCCAACACTTGTGATATGCTTGTTGTTGCGAAAAACTTAACGCTCAAGTATGTTGCCAGCTCTTCTCATTCTGGGACAAGAAAAGAAAAACTCATTTCAGATGCGTCGAATTCTGGTGTATGTTGTACAACATGGTTGATATATTTGTCGTTTTGCGAGCGGCAAGCTGAAGAGGTATTTGAAATCGCATTGCTGCGGGCTGCCCTTCGCTGTGACTGGGTGTCAGATCGCAGGGCTGGACGTAAGAGCATCTTTTAAGAGCGTCGTTTATATCGGTGAGTGCAATTGTCCCTGCGCTGCTATTTGGTCATCTGAATAGCACCGCAGGTAAAAAAACATCATTAACAGTTGGCGGAGCAATAGCACACCAATGCTATTTGGCGCCTAGCATTGCTATTCTGGTCCTGTATCACCGCTCGAGGCCAAATAGCACCCCAGAATAGCACCCCGTGAACTTCGCGCTGAAGATTGCAGTGGTGTCTTGGAGCGGACCCAGAGTCTATTCTGCCAAAGTTTCGTTGTTGTTTGCACCCAACGTTACGGATGTATGCAACTAAGCAGTAGCACCAGGGCTATACGGCAGTGCCATATTAGTAAGGTAGCTCGGCAGCCAGTGAGACTCGTTCTTGTACAGCACCAGTCCAGAAGTCGGGCCTTCGGCCCGACGTTCTGCACTTTTTCGTTCCTATGCTATATGTTCAAAGCCACTGACTCGCTGGCCAGGCTGGGCTGCGCTGTTGCGCTGTTGATGTTTTCCATTGCCTGTCGATTTGCTCATCACGTTATTCCCTATGTCCTTTGCCACTGCCGCTGCGCTGAGGGCTGCACAGCACCGCCGCGTGAGCTTGCTCCCACTATGCTACACGGGGAGTCCTTGTCGGGGGCTGCAACTTCGACCATTGAGTTTGCGGGCGCTACCAATCGCCGCTGCGGCCACCGGCCCTGGCCACCGCAATGATGTGGCATCGCATCGGCAGACGCGCGTCGAGCGTAAGCGGACACCGAGCGCTGCAACTACGACAGCGATAACCGCGCCCATCCCGTCGGCCGCCCTTGAGCGTACCTCTGACAACTCCACGGAGACGCCCGCCATCCTACCGCTTTCAGCGATGGAATTGCCCCCTATCGCCAGAATGCATCGCAGGATTGTTGGCCTCGCCTTTCCCAAGGAATCCCCCCTTGGATGGGGCACTTGCTGCACCCTTCCCGATCGCGACATTCCCTCTTGACCCACAACTGAACGACCCGCCCTTGTGCCACCCTTGGGCCCCTTGGCCCTGGGTAGCAAGGCGTACGATACGGCAATTAAACTCCGCGCGCGATCGCCACAACGATAGCTATTGCTGAGGGCCATCGCGGGGCTCTACAGCCTCTTCGCGGCACAGCCACACGCGGAAGGCAACTTAAATTTTGGTTTGCCGTTCTTGATGGTCGGAACTTGCACCATTGGTGCACGGCCTCGCATGCGCTCACATGATCGGGCGAAAGCAACACGCGACGAGCACTGTCGGGTGCTGGGCGCCATGGGAATGGCTTCAGGAAGCCGCGCCTCTAATCCCCGTTGCGCTTTGGAAGCGGCACCCGGTTCGGCGAGGCCCCTTGTCGCACTCACACCACACCATCGGCATCACATCCACACATACACACGACTTTCCGAGACCGCCGCGACCACGCGGGATTGCGGCGAGAAAGGGCGCCTCGAGCGCAGGTGGACACGGTGCGCCGCAGCCGCGGCACCGATAGCCGCGCGCCTGCCGTCGGCCGCCCTCGAGCGCAGCCACCGGGCCACCCGGGAACGCATGCCAACGACACCCGACTCGGGGAGCCCCGCCGCTCACGTAACCCCCACGTCACAGGGGTCTATTTCTACACAAGAACGCTGAGTCAGACTCCAAAAAAAATCATTTCCGGGGCGCTCTTAGCCGCGTTGCCAGCTTCAAAAATAAGATAAGACCAGCAGTAAGATGCTCTAAGAGAGGGTTCCTTGTGAAGCAGGGGCTGACGTCATCAGGCCAAAGCACGATGCCCACACAGCGTTAATGGATATTTGTTGTGGCGGGCTCACGGGTCTCGTCGGGTCTTGACCTTCCAGCCTTCTTCCCATCAGGGCTCCCGCGCGGCAGGGGCCACACAGAGAAGGACGGCTGTTTTGACGTCCCTGGCTAAGGCACGGCCGGAGGGAAGGTGAGCGCCGACAGGGAAACCTTGGCTCAGCACCCAGCACAGAAACTGTCGGGAGCCACCGAGCGTTGTTGCCTCGTCCATGCATGGTTTGGCGGGTGCGGCCGCAAGCGCTGGAGATTTGGCTGCGCCGTCGAAGCGTCGAGTGGCGCGCTGTGCCCGAGGAAGTGTCGAAAATGCCCTGCACAGCCCTTTTCCCTACCATGCGGCCAGGCGTCACGGAAATGCGTTCCAGGCAGACGTGCCTGGTTGCATGAAACGGCTGATCAGCCGTCTGGAAAGAATCTTCCTATCCGTTTCGCTGGGCGTCCGAACGGCCCGTCGATTGCCCTGGGGCCCTGGGGACTGAGGAGCTTGCCCTGCGCTCTCCGTCCAGCAGTTGGCCCTTTGACCCTTGTTATGGGGCGGAAAGGGGAGTGCCGACTTTGCCTCCAAGGGAATGTGCAACTGGGGTAGTCGGGTTGTCCCGCTCGCCTGTGTGGAGCCAATCGACGACCCGCGGCCCATGTACGCCCCGAACCGCTTGCTTGTATTCGGGGCCCGACGGCCTCGTTCTCGAAGCGGTCTTGTGGTCGATGCATCGTCCTTTCCTTGCATTCCAAAGTGATGCGAGGTTTGACCAAACCTCCGCGGTTTTGCAAGCTTGCAATGTTTCTGTCCACCTTCCCTTAGCTCGACAGGAACCATTCATTGACGTCCGTTCCTCTCTTGCGGTTGAAGACACTCTGCTCAAGATGCTGCAGGTGCCGAACCGTGCGAATCTCTGTGCGCCCCCGCTTATCTGCACGGTTTCTCTTATATCTGCAGAACGGCCTGATTGAAACGAGCTGTTGCCTTTCTAGGTGCACTCCCGGTATGGGATTTCCCAGCCCCAAATGGCGTCCCGTCCTTGTGTTCGTGCTGGGGCTGGTGTCGCTCACAGCCAACGCACAGGGCCGGCCGGCAGTCGAGGAAGTGAACGACTTTGCTTTGAGGCTGTATGACAAGCTGTCAACCAGGGACGCTGCCAACAACGTCATGTTCTCGCCACTGAGCGTTGCGGCCGCTTTCTCTGTTGTGCACCTCGGCGCGAACGGCACCACACGAAAACAGCTAGAGGATACATTTGGCTTTGGAAACAAGGACGTTGCAGACGAGTTGCTGAGGGGTAATGGAAGCGCCCTTGTGCTGGCCACCCCTGATGATGGTATTGATTTTCTTGCTGCAAGCGACCTGTTTCTCCAGGATGGATTCGATGTGGCGTTGTCTTTCAAGATACGCTTGACGAAAACGCATTCGAAAGCACCGAAGTTTGTGAATTTCACCACAGACCCAGAGGGGTCCAGGAGAATAATAAATGAATTTGTCAATGCGTCAACGAGGGGAAACATTAATGAACTGATTCCCAAAGGAGCAGTGGACGAGGTGACCCGCATGGTTCTTGCCAACGCTGTGTTCTTTGAGGCGGGCTGGAGCACCCCCTTTGACAGCAACAAGACTTTCCCCATGCAATTCAGGGCCTTTGGGGTGAATCGAAAAGTAGACATGATGACACAAGAGACAAGACTGAAGTTGGTGCCCTTTGTTGACTCGCGGGTGAGCGGATTCTGCAGCTGCCCCAGAACACTGTCTGATGCTCTATAAGTTGTCTGTCCTGAAATAGAGCACTCTGAACCCTCTGCACCCATACCAGCTCCAATGAATGGGAACTCCCACTGGCAACATCCTGGCGTGGAGCTGAGCTGAGGGGGCCACCAGGGAGTCTCCTGAAACAGGGTTTTTGTTTGCAGAGAATATATTTTCACTTGAAGCGTGTTGCATTACTCGAATCGAATCTGACTTTTGGAGTATCTGGAAGTTAGATCCCAACATCAACAAGCGATCATAAGGTTTGATTGTTCTGGGCACTTCGAGGTTTCTAGACTTTGTCCAAAGGGATTCGAATGCCTCTTTTTGGCCGATACTTGCAACGTACAGAACATATCATGCGGCTCAGTGCATGTAGGCATACCTGCCAATGCTTGCCTGGTGCTTGAACAGCCTTGCTGTGTATGGGTAGTAGTGTGCGCTCCATATTAGTATCCACCCTCATTCTCTGGGGTTTCACACCGGGTCAGTATCCATGACCTGTTGCTAATATCCAGGCCCAAACTCTCGTCGGGGCTCGCTAAGTTGTTCTCGGCGAGAGGAAGCCAGTTATGCCAACTGTGGCTGCTGAGCGTCCTTTGTTGGTCACATTTGTGATCCTTCAAACTACAGCAACTGTGGCCAGGTGGCGCCGACGTGATGTTTGCTTGGTGGCTGCCCAGCTGGCAGTTTTTCCTTGTGCTAATCGACGTTGAAGGAAGATATCCGGCTGTCGAACGGCCGAAGGCCGCGTGGAAGCGCTAGAGAGGCAGATAGGAACATTGGTGACATGCTGATCGAATAGGGAGGTGGCATCGTGCATGAATCAACGTGCGATTCATTGTGGACGTTTATTGTGTTTGATACTGACATCTTGTGGTGGTCTTAAAGTTCTCAATGACAGCATGAGGCTTCTAATGTCATGATGTTTGCAAATTTGCAGCTTCCTCCTGGTTATGTTGCTGCCAGTGCACTGCATTTTTGTTGTTTCTAGAGAATGTTGCCGATATTTGGGGTTTATTTTCAAAATCTTTGCCCGTCACCTGGCTGAAGGTCCAAGCCTTGTTACTACCCACACACCCGATTTCGCATTCATGGCATCGTTTCGTTTCGCTCGGGGCCCCTATGCGCCTGGGATACCGTGCAAACTCAGTACGTATGTAGACATGTTGGTTTGCGACTTCCTTTTTGCAATGCTGCACGCAAACTGTGTTGTGACTTCGTGCACAGGTTCTCGAACTTCCTTATGGCAATGGGGCTGCGAGCATGGTAATCGTGCTGCCAAACACTGATGGAAAAGAGGCGTTCCTGAAGCTGGAAGAGGACCTGCGGGGAATCGATCTTACAGCTCTGCTGAATGAAACGAGAACGACGAAAGTGAAAGTCTTCTTGCCAAGATTTCAGGTGGAAGGCACTGCGGATTTGACAGAAGTCCTTCCTAAGCTGGGGGTGAAAGATCTGTTCAGTCAAACGGGCGCAGACCTTTCGGAGCTGTCCAGAGGAGAGGGTTTGTATATTTCTTCGGCATTCCACACAGCCAAGGTGATGGTGGATGAAAAGGGAACCACAGCAAGTGCCGCAACCGGGGCTGCAGCGTCATCAAAGATTTTTGTGGAACCAGAGGAATTCAAAGCCAACCGCCCTTTCGTCTACTTCATAATCGACAATGCGAGCAAGGTCATCCTGTTCATGGGCAATCTTCGAGGGTTGCCCCAGGAGATTCCATCTTGAGCACGCAAGACACCTTGGCGCTTGTCGCTCAGTGCCAGCGAGGTTTGCTGCGCTGCCAATGCAGGCTCGTGAGACCTGTCCCTTCATGCCTTGCCTGGTCGCCTCGCTCACTTTTGCAGCGGGTCTACCGGACTTGACACAAGTTCACGGGGGCGCCCCCGCTCACCTTGTTCTGTTTGCAACACTGACGAGTCGGGGATGCCGCGCTTGACTTGCCCTTCAGGTGTTCCGCGGTGGAGAAGGCTTAACAGTTCAGATCAGCACAATTTGAGCACCATGGGTAGGATTGTCTCCCATTCCGCAGTGACGCGGTGTAGTGGTAGGTTAGTGTAGTGGTTGCTGGTGTTCATGTCGCACAAACAGTCGCATCTTTTGGAGACAGGGATCAGGTAGAACATCCAGGATATCTCGCACCACTTTGATTGATTTTATTGCACAATGTTGATTTTGCAATGCAGCATAGTGGGCCAATTGAGGAGCTGCGGGTGTGTTCCCGCTGTGGCTGCATGTAATGTCGAGTGACCAGCTGTCATGCTCAGAGCCGAACCCCTCCTTTGCACAATTGCAACACCATAACAAAACTGCATTCCAGTCTGGGTCTGGCTGGCAACAACAACACCAGTTTTGTTCTTTATTGACAGCGCTCTTCGATGCCTTCCTGTCAATGGCCCCTGTGCGCACCTTTGCACAGCCGTCCAAAACAAGAGCACAAGAGCATCACGAGTCGCTGTCCGCAGTGCAGCAGTTGGCAACCCCTTTGGTGCATGTGCATTGCTGAGCGCAAGAGTTCCCAGAAAACTACAACCACCAACTACTCGCTTTGTCCTGGCAAACGCACCTGAACAATGCACATCCTTGTTTGTGCTAATAGAATCCCTAAAGCGGAAATTCAAGGCCAGCTGACCTGCATAGTTCCAACTGTGCACCCTTGGGGCCCACAGATTCTCAGCACGTTCCAACTTAAGCTCATAAGCTGACATCCCCCAACGCCAACGGACTGTTGAATGATCCTTCCATTCAACGGCCCAACAAAATGCGAGCAATCCATGCTCGGACGGCTTCATCGCCCACAGCTACCACTGCCGAATCCGTCAAAAGGCCCCAAGACTAAATGACTCCTCATGTTCACCCACAAGCGCAACATGTATCACTAAAACTATTTCAGAATGCCAACAGCCAGTCAGCACCCCGGTATTGCTCTTGATTGAGTTCACAAGGATCCCAACGATTTCCGCTGTCAGTTCTGGATGCCTCACCAAGTCAAGAAATCGGATCTAGGCCAAGCACAAGGTCATCCATATTCAGCGAATTTGTCTTTCCATCAGATCCGTGCTCCCTGTCCAGCATGCTCAAAACTGACTTCAGTGCTGCTGTGCGACTTGTAGTCTTCTTCCCATCCGGTTCGTCCTCTTCCCCTCCATTGTCGCCTCCGGTTGAGTTCTTGGTTGTGTCGGCGTCGTTTTCATCAACTGCCAAGAGCTCTTGTACACTTCGTGGCCTTGGCATCTGATATGGCCCCTCCTTCCAAGAGGAGCCCTTCGAAAGCACTGCAAGCACCTTCCTTGAGAAGCTGGCACAGAACAAGACAACCAGAGGAAGTGAGGGCCTGACCGCTAGAACCGCACACGCTGCTGAGCACTTGACAGAGGATGCACAGACTGCGCGGGCTATTGGCACTTCGGAATTCATAGAAAGGTGTGCTCACTCCATAGCTCTGGTCTGCTCAGTGGCTTCCGGCTCGCAGGGACTGATGCTTCCTTCTGGGGTGCTGCATCGCCCTTGAGAAAGCGGCCTCTTGGCTCGCTGTGGGATGCCATCCGAGCTGTCAGGGCTGAAGCAGGTTCCCAGCATATCCTCCAGCTGTGAGCCAAATGCGTTTCTCAAGCTGGACACCTGATCAAGAGAAAAGGTTACTCAAGCACAGTCGCATTCCCAGGTCGTGTCCGTGCAAGAGCTGCCATGTCTTTGACGTGCAGGGAGATCCTACTCACCTGAGGCGAAACTGCAAAACTAAGGGCAAAACGACAGTATGGGCTCATTAACTCGTGGAACAAACAGCACCAAACGCATGTGGACAAAGGCTAAAGAAGTCTGCCCCATGGGCATCGTTCAGACAGGACGACAGAGCAAACAACCAAGCCCAATATCGGTCAGGGCCTTCAGGTCCATTTCCAGTGCCTCAATCGCACGCTTACTTTGCAGCCCAGCTTGATCAAGCGCCCAGGCAGGTCAGGTTCGCTCTCACACAGGTTCCTCAGTTGTTCAGTTGCCTGTCTGTCCAGCTTATCGGGGAACGCCTGACTGAAGGCCTGCATCTGGCCAGCATTAGTGATACTTATTCTCAAGCAAGGCTTCAGGATGTCTCCTGTGTCAAGTGTTGCTGTTTCCAAGTCAGGACAGTCCACGACCATGCTGAGCTGCAACAACGATGTATTGGCAAGAAGGATGATAGCGCCCTGGCGGACAGCGCCCAGAGCAAGGGACGAGGTTTCGTGATCCTGAAGCACAAAAATGCATGTAAGAGCAGACAAGGGTGCGAGTCGCAGGAAAACTAAAATTGCATGTGTGTTGAAGGAGCAACAGTAGAAACTTCTCAGCTGGCTTACAAAAGCTCACAAAAAAGAGCTTTACTCCAAAACTAAGCTGTATGTTGCAAGTCCATGGTACTGCCTAGAAACTTTGTAGTGAACCAGCACATGATGATACACAACCAGATCTCCAGGCACAGATAGCAATGCAGGCGCTGAAAATGCATATCCTCAACCAACAAATGGAGGCCATTGGAAGCAGCTGTGAGCTCAGGGGTTGCAGCTGGTATGGAACTAGCTTTCTATCAGCTCAGGTTCAGAAAACGGTCTGACTTGGCACTGCCTCCAATCCATGCCCTCCCAGTGCTTGCCACCCACCTTGAGTGCCATCGTCACGAGCAGGTTCACAAATTGAAGACCAGTCACCCAGCCCCTCGCATCAGAACTCCTCATTACTACAGCAAACGTTCCGGCGATCGCCACAAATGACTCAGGCACCAAGTTTGCATCCAGCAATTCATTGTAAACTGCTGTGAGAAAACCTGACACAAGTGCAGGAGGCAAAGTACTCTCCCCAATTCCAGCAGGCACCAATATCTGAAGTAATCTGTGAATTTGCAGCCTTGGCAGGGCAGGCAGACTCAAATGCAGACTTAGCAGCTCCAGAAACATATCATTCTTCTTGCTGAAGGGGATTTTGCGACCCTGAAAACAACAGCCAGCAGCCATCTGTCAGGCTTCCCTAACAAACTGCAGCTGCCATCAATTGTATTGTGTCGTTTGTGGCACCTGTGGGGTGCTCATGGCCCCATTGCCTTGATGCCAGGAAGCAAATCCTTATACTCTAGATACAACACCGCTCTATAGCGACTTGATACGATGCTGTTGCAGCGTTGCCCTGCACACAGGCCACAAGAAGTGACAATTGGCATGAAATCAATCTCCAGCAACATTTTGCATGCATCACGGCACAATCGGCTACGTACCAGGAGCAGCCCAACTCACCTCGTCAGGACGCAATACAACTGCTCTCAATGCAGCAGCTACGCACTCCAGCACAGCAACAACTGCATCGGCACTATCTCCCTTGCCAAGGCCATTTGGCAAGCGGAGCTGTGCCAAGATTCGTGTCAATTCGTCAACCAAGACGCCAGTGTCCTCGATGCTTCCACTAACCTGCAAGGCGACAGATGATGCCGGTTGAGTTGTGGAACCAAGGGATGGCATGCAAGACTGGCCAGCACAGGACAGAGACACAATACTATGTGGTACTGAAACTGCAAGCAATCTGAGCAAGAACATCTTCACACACTGCCAGATACCATGCAAATAGCAAGCAGGCCAATCCAGCCTAAACGCAGACACAGTTGGTGCAAAAATCGCTCGTTGGGGAGTCCAACAAAATATCTGCTGAGTTTGTGACGTTTCTTGACAAATATCATGCTGGTATCGCGATTGAGAAGTCCATCGTTGACCATCCTCCCGGCTGTCATTCCAGTAACATCTGTCAGAATGCTCGGCCCAATTAGCGGACTCTGGAATAGCCAAAAAAGGGGGAGCTCACCTCAGCGATGCTGTCCAACACAGCAGTCCGCAGATCCTCTTCTTCCATGTTTCCATTTGCTTTTGGCAATGGCTTGGGCACGTCCAGCTCGCCACCAGATGTAGATGTTGCCGAACCCAGAACAGGAACATCAGCGAGCAAGGGCAGCTGTGCTGGTAGGTGTGTCAGGCACTGAGCCAGGACGGCACTCAGAAAGTGCCGTTCTTGAGACAGCCCTTCATTAACTGCTAGTCTTATGAGGCAGGCACGCTCTGAAACTGACAGGTGATCTGCGGAAGACGCATGGCGCAGAAGAACTGTGAAGAGGAGGAACTGGTGGTGCTGCTCAGCGAAGGCTTGGTGCAAGACACCAACGCTTGCCTGAGACAGTCGCAAGGGGCACAAATTCAGCCAGCATTTACAGGGGCACACACTGGTAGCCAAGGAACTTGCACCAGGTGCACCACAGGAGAGCAGATGGCCATGTTTGGCACAGCAGGTCAGACATCACAAGTTTGATGGAAGAACAGTCCAGTGTAGAAACATACACCAGCTGAATTGACTGCAGATTAAATCTCAATACAGGCTGGGTAGGGTGGACTCACAGCCACAACTGGCTCATCAGCCTTCCATCCGTGCCTTTCATCAAGTGCTCTGAGGACAGCAGTCAGGATCTTTTCCGCACTTCTTGCAGCCTACAACACCATTACATTATGTGTAAGTCCTCATCATAGATGCTGTTGAACAAACAATACCCCTCATCACAAACAGGAGGAACGTATAACATCAGCTCCCATTAGACCAACAATCTGACGAGACAGAATACCGTCAGCTCAACGCATGTCTGCACGTGTAGGGTGCGCGCATCTTCACCACAAGCAAATGCATTGACTAACAGATGGCGATACTACAAGGAACTGATGGGTAGCAAAACAATGTCTGCACTTGCAGAGTTGCATGTTGCTGACGTCACCTTGGTAAGATGGCCAAGTTCAGCCATGATTTGCGTCGCTATCTCCTCACTAGTGGATGCAGAAGCAAAATCATCACCCATTCCAGCATCCTCACAGAAACTGAAATCCAGTGTCGTTTTCTTCATGGATGCCAGCTGAGATTTCCTGGCTACAACATGAACCCATCAGCACAAGAGCCCCACACAGCCACCACAACATCGTAAATGGGAATGGACACTCGCGTATTACCTTGCAGAGGTTTGACATGGCAAGAAAACCTGTACACCATTTCTTTCATGTCTTGCAAACTGTGTGTGCAAACACAACAAATCATGATGCACTTTGAGCGTCCTCAAAGTGCACAGTTCAGAAATGACAGCCACAAAATCCGCAGGAAAACGATCCAACAATAACTGAGTTGGCTCCTCCCCAGTGTGGACATGGAGGGTACACTGCAATTATAAACGCAATAAGCTTGTGGCCAATAACACACGACATGTGGTGTCAGCCAGCATACCATCAAGTTCTGCAGGTGGCTCCTCTCCTTCCATGGAGGCCACTGCCTGGGCAACCTCCTTGGGATGGATATTATCCAGTACTGTTGCCTACAGGATCACAAGCAGACTGGAAATGAATGGGGCAGTCACAGTGCTGGCACGGGCTGTCCCAGAGAGCTGCAAACACCTGCACCAAGAACCAGACAAGTATGAGAAAAATTGCCAATGAACATGGCAGCAGCTGCTGCTGGGCCAGAGACAGCAGCAGCAATAACTCAACACAGAGCTGCAGTTTTGCCGTGGGCTGAAATTGCATCGGTAAAATGGAAGACAACGATCGAAATGGGAAACAAAGCCACTCTCATGTGGCAGGTAATACATTCACAACAAGGTGAATGTGACGAACAATACATGTCCATGTGGACATACGATGAGGTCGTCCAAATGCTGAGGTGCTGCAGAGAGGCGTTCCATGAAAGCAATGAGCTCTCTGAGGGCCCGAAGGCCGGCGGTACGAAGCTCTTGTACTTTCCCATTGCTTGTGCCATCGAGTTCTGACGGTGCTGGGTGGCGGCAATTTCTGGAGACGATGGGAACCAGTGACTCAATCTCAGCCTGGTTGTCACCATCTGTCTGCATCCACAACCAGCGACACTGCCTTTGGCCAATCTTGGATTTCAACAAATAGAGAGGGGACTTTTAGAAAGAGGAGAAAAAGACATATTCAACACCATTTTAGTATGTGGCTGATAGATCTGCAAGCCAAGCAGCGATGGAGGGCACTGTTCAGGGCTGTGGTGAGGTGGTCCGAACTGGTAGTTGGGGCTATTGTGATGTGGTGGGCCACAATTGAGCATGCTACTTTGTGGGTGGGATTTCCACACAGCCTTGCCTCAGATGACCATGAGCACCACTTACTCAACTGCCCTCACTTCACACTTGTTTTAAAGTGGCTGGGCTCTTCGATTGCTCAGGATTTAGTTGCCACTCACAAATGGACTCAGTAGTATCTATTGGTTCACAGCTGTTGTTGCATGACCCTGCTTCTGCGAGTCATCAAGGTGGCCACCATGAGCAGCACCGCAAATTTTGCATGAGGTGGATATTGGTTTGTGAGTTATTCTGGGTTGTCTCTGGGTGGTTGATGTCATTTATCAGGCAGTATGTACGCTGTTTGCAGGGTAAAAATGGCTAGCCTGTGGCTCACTATGGGATTGGAAAGACTTGATTGTGGGCTGTAAAGCAGCAATGTAGTTTGGAGCAGGAAAAGGGTGAGCCGAATAAAAGGGCCAGCCTGTGTTAGACTTGGGAGCATGTTGGGACAGCACTGCTAGATGTGGGACATGTGACAGAAGGGCACCAGGTTTTCTTTCTATCTTGATGGTGTTCTCAGTGTCAGTGGCTGGCATGTTGGGCAAGTGCTTGATGCACTAGATTACACTATGGCTACTGGATATTCACATTTCTTGTCTTGTAGGTCCTCCTGAGGGTGCTTGTTGTCTTGTCTCACCCTGCCTCAAAAGACTCATATCATAGTGTGGTGAACAGAGTATCAACAGTTTTTGGTAGGAAATGGGGCACATATTGGATGGCATGGTTCTAGTCTTCTAATCAACAAATAGTTTTGCACTTTTGGTATGTTGCCAAAAACATGACTGAAGGCCAGGCACATTAGATTCAAACAATACGCAGCCCAGTGGGAACAGCAGTGCAGAAACACTGTAGTAGCAGCAGTCAATACAGATGCCAGATAGAATCACTTGTTGATACTAATGTTGAGTTTGTCAGGAAAACGTCTGGAACCCCACCACTAAAGAGCTTGCAAATGGGCAATCATGAGCACACATATCTGTCAGAGCTGTGACCAAGTGCCCCATATAATCAGGCCTTCAGTCACAGCATTATTGACACACCTGTTGCTGAAGGAAGTGTGCCAAGAGCTCAGCTCCCAAAATGCGGAGATGGATACTGTGGTGTTCCAAAAGGAGCCTGATCTGTTAACAACACATGAACAGGCAGCGCACTCAGCAAAGAGTCACAGCAGCGCCCTGGGTTCTGGTTCTGTTCTGGATTCTTCTTACGGGTAAATGAGTTGAGCAGCAATAGCTTGGCTGTGGCCATAACTTGCACCATTACTGCTACATTTACAAAGCTCGTGAAAAGAAGATAGTTGCTGGAACAGCTCTGTGCCTGAGGATGCCATGTGGGTATGCCTACCATAAGCACTCGCATTTAGAGGTACTAAAGTTGGCATCCAGAATAGGGTGCTGTTTGCCATATCTCCGCAACATTGCCCTGACGCGCAATACAACAAACAACCACCAAACTCCCCTATCGGCACAAAGCATGGCTGTACTTTCCATTTTATTATTCAATACAGGATGGCACTCTTCTGACAGTAGGGAAGGTCAGGCAAACTGTATGTTCCATGTGTGCCTTGCAATATGTTCTCATCAATTCAATCAGCTTCAGAATCCCAATCCGTGGGGGTGGTGGGACATATTCAAACATGGCAAGCCCTCGAGCATTAAAGTCACGCTGACTTCATGAAATTCATGTTGATCTCATCAATGCAATGCCTCCCCATCCAACAACCGTTTGTACTATGTGCTGGCTGCAAAACAGCAGATGTGCGGCTGCGGGAACTGATTTGAATACTGTTGACACATTTCCTCAATAACAGCCAGCAACTTGACAAAGACACACTTCACGACCATTCAAGCGGACGCAGGTTGAGACTTCCACAAACATGAATACAGAAATGGGTGGTGATATTTATGGACACATGGTTATTGCATCCGCGGTTTGTCGTTGTGCGGCTTGCCACTCACCAGAGAGCCTTTTATCCGACCTCCCTGGCTGGATGAAAACAAGGACGACACACCACCAGGCACGCATTGGCCTTCGCGTCCCACTGCGATCACAGGCTGGTCTTTGACGAGCTCCTGTGCATAGAGCACTGCATCCCCCTTGTTGCTATGCTGCAATAGGTAGATGAATGCGTGCACAGCAATCTTGATGTTCCCGTACTTCTTCTTTTTGATGAGGCACTTGCGGATCTTTCTGTCCAGTCGGCGGGACACCTGCAGGCACCCAGCCTATCAGCTGGTGCACGTGCACAGAGCGTTTCCGCAACTCCAGATAATGTGACAGGATAATGGGGACCGGATGTACGGGAAGACACGCACTTCGTCCACAGCGGCTTGGGGTCGTCATAAAGGGCTGGGTCTTGTCCACCAACCCGTCCCAGATGGACGCCCAGGAACACAACAGGGGCGCCACTGCCCACAGCATTGAGCACGTGCGCAAGGACCGAACAATTGAAGCAGCAGGATGACGTCCACTGCGCGAACAAGCGCACAACCAATCTGGCCATCCTGGAAAGGGGTCAAGGCCCATCCTGTCATTGACTAGCTGTGTCTGGGACCGCTGGCCTGCTCCCTGACATCCACGTACCAGCGCAGACGCCGCTCCAAATACCAAAGATCTCCCCGCCCAGCACGCGACACACCTTTGGCGCCCTCTCCGAGTTCTTTGACACATATTCCTGCAGCTTTTCAATGTGCTTCTTCACCGCGCTGGACAAATCCTCATCGACGTCGACAGCTTTGACAGGGAAGATGTCGGGCACCAGGAAGTTGTATCTCTTGACGGGGAACTTCGAGGCTGGCTTCGGCAGCACCCTCCCGAACAAACCCGCGCTGCTCATTCGCCACGCGCCCGGGTGGCCCAGCCGGGCGTGGTGGGCCGGGGCAAGGGGACTTCAGCGGAGCGCGCCCCCCTGTAGTTCCGTGGATCTGCGCTGGACGGCGGGAGGGGCGTGGGCATTGATTCGCGCAATACGGTGCGCATCGCGGCTGGTTCGGCACTGCGGATCCCCCGCAGGTGCTCCCCGCTTGCTGGCGTGGAGGTTCTTGTCGATGTGAGACAAGGCGGATTGATGCGAACCCGGCAACTTGGGACTCCCCCGATAGGACATTGAGCGTTCATCGGACACTGATGTTTTCCTCTTCTCTTGTTGTTTGAGACCCTACATCGGCTCCTGCCGGAAAAGGGTCCTCTATGCTATTACTATTTGCGGGGGAGATCCTTGGATTGCATTTTCGTGTGATACATTGGAATTAAAAAAATTTGAAAAAGAACCCACCGGCTGATGCTGATAGGCCAGTGCCTGGCAATTGTGGGGCCATCCCTTCCGCCGAATTGAGCTCTTAGCTTCGAAGCAGCGTGTGCTCTGGCAAGGTTCTGGCTGCCTCCCCAGAATCCGTTGTCTCCAGCATACTCGCCAACATCACCCTCCCATTTTCGACGGCTTTTCCTCCCTATTCTTTGTTACTTAATCATTTGGCCCCATTCTTGGCCAATTTTACATCAGTCTGCGAGAAATGAACTGTCCGCATACATACATCAGAAATCTGGTGCCATCTCCTTGGATGCCTTGGCAATTTCCTTTCCGCGGCTACCATTGTGGCTGCACCCGGCCATTCCACACCGCAGGTACTTCATTTCGGCATACCAGCGTGGCAGACGGCGTAAATGCGCCTCCTTGCGCATTACTTCAGCATTGTTCAGACAGGCCATCATGCAATATTTCGCACAGGTGTCCTGGTAGCACGCTGGCCTTGTGGCCCCAGTATGGCATCGACCATGCACAGTCACAACGACCCATGAACATCGTGAACTATCTATCACCCACGCAGTGCATGTCCAGTTACAAAAGATGCTCCTGCAGACCAGTGTGCCATTCTCCCCGTATATACAAAACTGGTTCATCGTGCAGTGTTCTGTGTTCTCCGGACGCAAAACTGTCGCTAGGCCCAGAATTGCACAGCACGGAACTCCGCCCCCCAAAGTCAAAAGCGGTATGAACAGTGACTCGCGGATCTCTCCCTCTGCCAAATGTGTCGTCCATTGGGCATTATACTTCTTCTAGCCAGTCAAAGCGTGATGACGACAAACAAGGGCTGCCAAGTCAAGGAATGTAGCCCCAACACAGAATCCAACAGTAAACACACCCTCCACGGTGCCCATGCCAGGGGCCCCATGCACAACCGTCGATGCTCCTGGCGAGGCTCAGAACTCATGTGTTCTACCAACAATGAACCCAAGAATGAAGCCGATGATGGTGGGGATAAGCTGTGCGAGACCAGCAGCAACGACTCTCAGACAAGAAATCAAGCAAGTTACTGGAAGCAATCATCACAAAGGCTTGTCCATCGACAACCTACCCACGTCCGGTTTCTGTTCAGGTCCAGTAAGGGGGTACAGTGCAGCTTTGCAGCACATACAGCAAAATTATTTTTCATTTCTCGCAAATCTTATGGCTCCTACAGCGACCATAAACGGGGAAACCAATATGCAAACATGCGACTGCAAAGCAACGAGGAGATGATGAGCGAGCTCAAGGAGAAGGAACCGTCAGTCCATATTTCAACCGCAATCAACAAGAATTCACATGATCATTGATAGTCATATGATCAATGCAGGTCCGGCACAACTGGAGACTGGCGTGAGAGTGGTTTCAAACACATATTCAAGACAAAACTGCACTCTAGGGCCTGGCAATAGCCTGAAGACCGGTTTACCAGCATGGATACATGCAAATAAAGTGGATTTCCAGCAGTAAATGCAGCATGTCAATTGCGGAACACTTTCAACATCAATCTGCTGTGAGGTTTCTTGGCAAGAAAGTCTTGACTCACCCGATATTGAAGCATGCAACACAACAGCTAGCCATGTAAACATCCACATTCGACTGCCACAAAAACATCATAATGCACTGGCACAAACAACTGGTGCACTCACATTCTGCATAATTTTGGCACCCAGGGACTTGAGGCCTGCACGGACCCCTCCTTCTTCGCCAACAAGTCTACCAGCAGCGTTTTTGACGTCTGACATGTGCAGATGGATGATACCAAACCAGGCGAGGCCTTGGATGATGACAAAAATAACCACCACAGCAATCAAGAACTTCCACCAGTGCTTCTGCGAGCCCACAAAAAACAGTCTTAAACAGATGTTTGAGTCCACGGAGCAACTGCTAATTGTGCAGCACTTCTGCTGGAAACCGCAACACTGGTAAACCCGTCCTTCAAAGTTTCGAAAGCAACCATTATCGCAATACCTGGCATTTCTGCACATGACACAGTGCCTAACAGTCAGCCACTGCACTCCTCCCCAACAATCACTCTCTGCATCATCTCAAGTATCCCAATCTGACAAATGAACATGACTTGATATTTCAATCCGATTCAACCAGTGAAGTCTCCACGGATCTCCACAACATTGCTTGAAACATCAATTCTGGGGATTGTCCCCGTAACCAGTTGATCTGTGCAGGTAATTCACACGTTCAATCTCCCAACCAGAACAGAAATATTATCAGCTACAACCTGACTACTTCCGTACAGTACATAACCCTGCCTTGGTGACCTTTCCAAGAGCGATCGATATTTTGCCGCATGACAATGATGGCTAGCCATAACAACAGCATTTATCAGGCACTCACTGGAAACCAAAGGATGGTCACAAACATGAAGGCCAGGCCAGCAGTGCATCTCTACAACAGTGGTCAGCACCCTGCACATCAATGCACTTACAAACAGAAAGAAGCCAATGATGAATCCAAGCAGCGCAGCCAAGCCCAGAACAGATGCCGATTTGTAGATGGCATCTGCGATTGTCCCAATATCCCACGATTTGCCTTTCTTTGCTGGCCCATCTGCAGGTGCGTCAGCTGAAGCAGCAGGTGCGCCTCCGGCAGCTGGTGGGGTTGCCGCAACAGGGGGAGTTGCAGCGGCTGCACAGCCATTAACACCACACTGACGTTAGGCGGCAATGACTCATCCCCAAGACTATTTTCCAGTGGTGTAGTAATGCTATGTACTAACATTTTGCCAGCTTCTCTGTGGGGAGGGTGGCAGTGATGCATGGAAACGGGCAAAGCGACCCAACAGCAGAATAGTGATCGCACATTAACAAAATCCAGAAACAGCATTACAAACAACACTCTGCAACAGTGTGTATGGCCATAAATGCAAATGGAAACTGCAACTGTGCTTTCCAAAGAGCAGCTACGAGGTCTATTGCTTTTCTCCTACATACAGCAGACCACAGCAAGACTAGCCATACGCACTTGTTGGCCCATGAGAATGTCATGCTGAACAGCAAGGCAAATTCTGGACGTTGGTAATCCTGCTCTACATGCACGGCTGAGGTTGATGGCACACATTATGGGGCACATGACGAGTATCGGTTGCTGCCAATACTATTGCGTTGAGGACAGCAATAAAGTCAGCAACTTGTTAGTCACATTGGATCCCAAAATTTCGCCTCTGAGATGGCCACGTCTCTCAAGGCATCCTAGACGGCAATGTTCCACTGTGCAGGCTGTCGTCCTTCCCAGCTCTTTTACCAAAAGTTTCTGACTCCCAAGGCATGTTCACCAACAGAATTCACAAACAAAAAATTCGAACACGACTTGGAGCGGCAGCAAAGCGTTGTGCAATTGCCAGCTTGCAGCTCACGGCGAGCAGGACGCTTCTGGCGTGGTGCAACAGTCAATTGACTTCCCACAGCCTCATTCCCCGACCACGTCCAAGCCCCCGACCAAAAGACACGCACAGAGACACAACAATCAAGCGCCGGACACGAGGTAAAAGTGAACAACCCAGCGCGTCGTCCCTGTGCCACAATGCTTTCAGGAATCGAAAACCTGTCCAAGGTCACAACCATTGGTACAGTTGATGGGCATTGCGGCGTTTGACGGCAGGGACGAAGGAAAGCTGCCAGGGTTAATACATGCGCACGTGGAAGATGCATGGCCAACCATCGTTGCGGCGGCACGGTCCCCCGCGTCCTCGAGTTGCATACGACATCGCCCCAGACGAAGCTGAACAAAATTTCAACAGTCGGAAGAATTTTCGCCACTCAGAACAAACGTTCTTGGCGCCCGTTAGCAAGAGATGGGGATTCGAAGCCACTCAAACACGGGCTAGGCCCTGAGAGGTTGGCAGGCGCAGTGACGGGCATCGAAAGTTCCAGGCATTTCCCCCCTCCCCACCCCCACCCCCCGGCGACCGCGCCACGTGTGCACCGCACAAATCCGTCGAGCACCTGGAATCAGGGGCTCCTGAACGTCCACGGCTGTCTGTCCCTCCGGCATGGCTGCAGCTCCCTCGCCCCGGCGTCAGTGGCCGCGCTCCGCACAGCACGCTGGAGGCTTGGCGGCGGCGTGCGGCTGCACAACGCGGCGTTGAATCCACAAGATGGGGCCTTTCATACGTCGGCAGCGCTCTCTGGCCGGACGGGACGGCGGCCAATGTCCTGGAGAACACGACATCGTGCCGATGTACCCGCACGTCAGCGGGCGCACTAAACCTTACTCCATCCTGGGTTTGCAATTGCGCAAGTGAATGCCTGCTTCCACTGTGCGCCAACTAGTTGCCCAAGTCGGCGGCGAACAAGATGGTGAAGCGGAAACGAGCGTGGCAGGAGTGTGCCGCGGAGCCCTCGCAGGAATGGGACAGGTCGAACGACTTTCGCAGTCGCGCCGATCCCTTCGTCTCCAACTACCTGGTGGAAGTGGACGAGCACCTGCGCGGGGTCGCCGGCGCGGACGAGAGGGCCCTGCTCGTAAGCAACGTGGCACAAGAGGTGCTGGGCGTGGAGTCCAAGGTGGCCGTGGATGCGACGTGCAGCCGAATTGTGGAGGGCATGATGCCTGAAATGGGGACTGAGCAGCTGCTCAAGTTCCTTGATGGGGTCCTGGAGGCGGACGCCTTGTGGTCGATCGCCTCAAAGTGAGCTACACCCAGTTTCAACAGTGTGGCTTTGGGCACGTGCTTTTCAGAGTGTGTGTCTTGCCGATGGTGTCGAACACGGACATGAGTCTCGCCGCCCCCTGAGCAGAAGCATCGACCCATTTCCGTGTTGCACCTTCAGTCTAAACATTCAATCCATGCGTCAACTCTTGATTGGACGATTTTCTATCCTTTGGAGACCATTCAGTTGTGGGAAGGAACGTTGACCTTCGTTTCACGTTTGTTATTTGTTGCAGCCCTTATGGCTCCCATTTCTTGGAGACAATGCTTCACAACCTGAGTTCTAGGCTCAAGACCTCTGGGCATAACATGGACAACGCAGTCGAGGTAATTTCAAAGATTGTATACGCAACACATGGCTCGATAGTGGTTTTCATCGGCCTGTTCTCAATTTGGATTTGCCACAGAGCACCTGGAGTACCACTGCTGGGAATCATGCTTTGGTCGATAACACTGCTGTTGGGGTGGCAATGTGGCATGTACAGTGCACTTGCCCTTGCCAAACTAACTGCACGTGAACAACAGCAGCATGGTGCTTCTTGTGTGCACAATTTCTTCTGAGACATCGGATACTCAAATACTGTCATGACATGTGCTGTACGCATGTTTTTTGAACTTTGAATATGGTGGGAAACAGGAGAAGTGCCAGTCAGCCAGTGGATGGGACTTATGTGGAGCCTAAATGCTGAACTGCACTCTCAAACAATGTTGACCATGGCTTCTGTATTTCATGTGAATAGTTTCAACCACAAGATTGAGTTGTTGTCTGCAAACCAGTCTGCAACCTGATCATTTGCCAAGGTTCTGGGTCATTGGTGCCAGACTGCAGTTATGTGTACAACATTTGGGAACCTGGATTATCCTGCTCAAAATGGCAGTCCATAGCTGCCTGCATGAATCAATGCTTCTGTCATGAAAAATTCAACTCTCAGTTGTTGTTGCCTTGCATTTCTGTGTCAGGTACTGCAACTGATAGTGAAGCATCTCAAGGCACATTTGTACGAATATTTGATGGATCGTTACGCTACTCATTTAGTGCGCAGCATGCTGGTGCTGCTGTCTGGACGGGACGTGACTGTCAGGTCCAAGGCATCACAAGCACATGGCCAGAAAGACAGGGTGCGCACCTTGCAGTTTGTTTCAATTTCTCTGATTGCAGTTGTCGACAGTGGTGATTCATACCTGCACACCCGTAGGGGTCTGTAGGCTGCAGCTTCATCACCTGTATCCTGACGGTATGGTTGCTAATTCTGCAGCCATGGATTTTGGCATTCCCTTGTTTCATAAATCATCAGCACTCAACTTGGCGAAGATCATGAACGAGGCACTCATCTACAAGGGATGCACCTGCCAATCTGTTGATGGACCAACTTGCAACGTCGTGTCCAGGCAGTTGCTGCCAATGTTTCGTTCTGCGTTAAAGCTAGCAAAGGCAGTGATTAAGCTTGTGTGTTGCTCCATGTCCTTTGTGCATGCTTCTTTGTGGTGCAAACACTATTTAAGCTGTATTTCAAGCTTGTTGGGAAATTATGCGTAATGATTCTTGGCAGGAGTAAAAATGGGCACAAATCTGTGCTGTGACTCAAGGATGCACTGGAGCTGATGTGGTCACGTATATCAGAACTCTTGCTTGTATACCTGCCTCTTACTCTGGGAAACTGTGTTTGTATGCTCTTTGCCCTTGGCAAAAGGACAAGCATGTACGCCAATCGTTGGCATTGTTGTGGCATGAAATCGCTTCATATCATGTCCAGGTTGTTCAAGCTACCTTTGGTTGGCACATTTGACTGTTGGGAATTAGCCAGAATACTGTGCAAAATTTTTGCTGCCAAAATCTGCATTTGCTTTGCAGGAACACAGAATCGGGGCTCTGGAAGCAAAACTGGTGACCAAACAGGACACAAATCATGATGAGCCTGTGTACAAGGAATTGCTGCAGCAGTTGCTTGCAACGCTGACAACAGCTGACTATGGTGGTGACTGCATGGTAGTGTTGCGCTCAAGCCCCTATGCAGGACCTGTGTTGCAGGGGTTTCTCCGAGCAGCTTCCTGGGACAGGTGTGCTTCCAGTAGCCCTTGCCCTCCGCAGCCATCCTTCCAACTGCCCCGGGGCTTGGACTGTCTGTTTCCAGGCAACACCCACATTATCCTGGGTTCTCTATCATTTGGCATAGTTTTTTGACACTTACAATTGCGTTGACATTGTGTCCAGTGGTTATAAAAAGAGGCACTTTACTCGTCATTGCCACTGTGTCAGGCCATGTGTCAATTGATGCCATTATTTGTTTTTCGTACGCACAGTTCTCCTTGCACTGTCAGTCCATTGTTGTCATCATTGCACCACAAGCAGATGTAGGACACCCATGAGGATTTGCTGCAGTGCAGTTCCATGTTCATGTTTATTATGTCCAGGGCCTTATTTTGCAATCTTCGCAAGGAACAAGTGATCCATCTCAAAGCTTTTGATTGTTTCCATTTTCGCTGTCCCAGGGAACTGCTTTGTGATCTTATATGGTCCGTTCTTGGTTTCGATGGGGTTCCCGATAATTCGCAGCTATTGTCTGCAAAGTCGATAATTCATGGCATCATGGAGAGGAAAGAGAGCAGCCATCTTGTGGAGACAGTGTTCTCAGTCGCACCAGAGGTGGGAATGGCTGCATTGTCCCATCTTGATGCAGCTGAAGACATGGGTTGGGTGGGCATGGAGTGGCTATGTGTGCTTGCCTCTCAATGGTATTCAATTCATGACTTGCCAGTAATGTGTTTGCAATGTTGCAGCAATTAAGCCGGCATTTTGGATGATTGGATGTCCACTGTGTGTGCATATGCGGCCCACACCATCAGAGCCAATGTCTGGCTTGTGAGCAGTGCTCCACACCTCACAAACCTTGGTATTGGCACACAATTCCTCTCTCTCTGTTGCCATACTGTTTTGAAAACCAAAGAGCTTAGTCTTCTGTACTTCCCAGATTGTTTGCTGCTGTGTTGAATGCCAGGGACTAGTGCCGATCGCCGTGCAAGCCAGTGCAGAGGAGAGCCGTTTTGTTTATTTCAACAATGTTAGATTTTGGTGACCTGCTCTATTTGCATCCACTGTCGTGTGAGCTGATGGATATTCATGTTGCTTGCTGTTAGGAAGTTCTGTCTGCCTTGTTCAGCCACGTTTTAAATGGATCTCTGCTGGAGCTGTCCAGGCACCCGTGTGCAAATTTTGTAGTTCAGTCTGCTGCAGCATCAGCAAGACTTCCAGATCAGGTATGACTTCAATTGTGTGCCATGCTCGTGTCCCACGTTGCAGTAAGCATGTTGATGCTCTTGGCATCAGGATGCCCCTTGACCTGACTGTAAACTTTTTCTCCACTCTTCCCCTCCGTTCTCCTGTCTCCTCCACTGCTAATGGAAGACACAGCAAAACAATGGGGTGTTGGTTTGTGCCTGCAAGCAAAGCCCTGATGACCCAACCTCACAGTGGCAGCGTTGCGGCAATTGTTCAGAATCTTCTCTGAAGCATGGTGTGGGTGAATGCACAGGTGGCAATGCTTGTGGCTGAACTTGGGCCTCATTTTGGGACTCTGTTGATGGAGCAGCGTGCTGGTGTCGTTCTGTCTGTCCTTGCCTCATGCCAAAGGAGGCAAGTGGCCCAGTTTGAGGCGTCCAACTTCCTTGCAGATGGGCTCCAAAGCGTAAAGGCTGACAAAAAGTCTGCCATGGGGGGAATCTGTGCGCAGCTGTTGACCTTGAACAATGGGGTGAAGTTAGGAGAGGAGGGTAAAGGAAGGCTTTCCCCTCTTGGCTGCATCGTACTTACTACGGTGCTATCATTCCCCAAAGTGAGCACAAGGGGCACCACATCGCTAGCCTCACTGTTGTGTTTCTTCCAGCAGTTTCACAATCATGAGTGTGAATGTTGTGTTTCCAACATTGTCAATTGGCAGGAAATGAGCACATGTGCTGGTCTGCTTGTCATGCAGATGGGCCTGGCAGATGATATTGTGATTGCCCTGAAACGTCACTTCGTTGTGTGTGCTGGTTTGTTTGGATGGAAGTATTCATGTGACTACCTGAGCAGTTGCTGAAAGTGTATTGTTGAGTATGATGCATGCGATGTCAACAGAACGCCCAGCGGCCATTTATTTCAAGCATTGTGAGCTTCAGCCGGGAAGTGCATCGACACATGGCCAGGGATGCAGGAGGGGCCCGTGTCCTTGAGGCGTTCATGGAGGGTAGCTCAAAGAAGAAATCGAAACGCTTGGTGATGGGACACCTGGAAGGCCTATGGGCACAGATGGCAGAGAAGGCATCCGCAAGCCACCTTGTGGAAAAATGTTTTGATAGAATGGTAGGCTGCTTGCTGGAAGTCAACATAAATTGGTCATGTATGAGACACACACTTGAGATGAGCTGTTGGCATGCATAGAATGTACCTCGGAGGCGAAGTTTAAATTTATACAATTAGTGGACAAGCCAGATGCAGAATTTGCTGGTGACATTGACCTTCCACCCAAGAACTGCGGTCTACAGTGAAGACAATATAAAGGTGTCCTCAAAGTGGTTGACGCATTGTCCTGTTCCTTGCATTATTTGCTGGGAATCATGTAACACCATTGTTGTTATGCAGAACATACATGGAAAAGAGAAGATTTTGAGTGAGGTGGTTGCCCGAAAGGCTGAAGTTTCAGCAACGCCATGGGGTTGTGGACTCCTGAACCACTGCCGTGCTGGACTCTATGAACGAAACAGAGACAAGTGGAAGGAGTGGGTAAAGAAGGGTGGCAGGGAGATCCAGAATTTCCTGGCAACTTTAGGCTTGGACGATGGAATGAAACATTCATCTAAACAAGTGAAAAACCAGGTCAAGGGCTATGTTCAAGGTATGGCATGAAGCATGTGATAGTGTCTGAATGCTGATGAAGAGCACATCCCGCAGCGCTTGAACACATTCTGTTGGTCTCCACTGAAAAGGCTCACTGCGGTGGAAACCAGTTCACCGATCTGGACTGGTGTCAGGGTCTTGCAACGTAAATGGCTATTCCAATTGTCCATGAGAAAGAACAGCGCAGGAGATGTGCAAGAGCGGTGACGTCACAAGGGCATGAGTTGTTGATTTGGCTTGTGGCTGGAAGGTGGCACTGTGAGAAAGGAGCGAAAGGGGCCCAGAGTGGAGGAAATGGAAACAGGCATGGATGAGAACGAAGCTGGGGATGCCGAAAAGAGGAATGCCAACAATCCTGGGGCAGAGGAGGGCCCGACAGTCCATCTCCAGCAAAAGGTGTGACAATGAAACGGCTGACATGGATGTGTCATTCTGTACTTAGGCTCTGGAAACTTTATGGCCAGCAGCAGTTGCAAGGTTTTGTACATTTGGGTTCTCTGACACGCTCAAATTGGAGGGCGTGAGTTGAACATGGGGGGTTGACTATGGAGGACTTCGGTGTTTTGACGCAGGTTCCTGATTTGATGCTTGCCCCTGAGGTCACTGCCCAGTCAAGACTGGAAGATCCGCCTGGTGGAGAGTCAGACAAAGATATTGACGCTCTGTTCGCCAGGCTGCCGAAGAGGAGACGTGTCAAGCATGTAAAAAAATTGGCAGCAAAGAATAAGAAATGAATTTGTCGCCTGGAACGAGCTTGCAACTGACCTTGATGTGCAGCCAAGGCTTGACATCAGAATGGAAACTTGTAACCGCGGACATGCCCAAGAATACGAAGCTTGCTCCTAGAACGAAAATCAGATCAGAAGGCGAACGCATTGGCAGAGAAGATGTGTTGTGAGCTTCCACCTGTGCGTGTTTGTTCCCATACTTGTTGTTGATTGTATTTGTGCATTTGAATCTTTGGCACAGTGTGCTTGCATCACGGTGGCCTTGTACCCATAGTCCCCAATTTGGTCCATGTCGTTCTTCACAATATAAATGTACCCAGCATTGAAACTGACTGCACGGGGTGATAGAATTAATGCAAAAGGTAGCCGTCTGACATGGCAGCCACCCGGGCGGAAATCCACAAAGCGCCAAGCCTTCGCTTGTCCCGCCTTCCGGCTCGATAGGATTTGCGTCGAAGGATACGAATCTGGGGACGTACAGCTCCCCTGCGAACATGTCGCCAGTGATTCCGCCACGGAAAATCCGACTCAAACGGGCCTTGCACCTCCTGGATCGCGCAGAAATCCGGCCCTTGGATGAGAAACACGCGGGAAGCCGCTTCGATTCTCACAGAATCGCTTGGAAACCCATGCGTTCGAATGGCAAAAATGCAACGGGCGCGATCTGTCGATATCCGAGCGCAGGAGACCTCAAACTCTTGGCCGCAAAGCCATTCTGGTCGGGCTGCACGCCACGGCCTGTGTGCACGGCTCGCACACGTCGAGACTGTCAGCAGGGTGCCTGCAACTTCACGGACTATGGTCCGTCCGTTCAGCCCCTCGGACACTAGGGCACAGCAGCATGCAGCCTGCGGCCCGCACACAGCACAGCAGCCACTCCCCAAATACCGTAGCCACGTCAGAATGGGCAGCACAACCCAATCTTTTACAATTTCTATCAGGTCACGTCCAAACATGGCAGTTCACATCGTTCTCTCCTTGCGCATCATACTCTGCTATTCGTATCACATCTGAGCGTGCTTCCGCAAACCTCGCAGCATGCTCTTCTAATCCTCACATAACCCCCTTGCAACGCTGAGGTGGCCACCATTTCACTCCTTCGTCACCTTTCTAGCACACGCGCAGCACCACAATCGAATCTGTGCCGCGACCTGAAAGATTCACAGGAATATTCGTTCACACCTACGCTTTTCACCTGCCCTCTTTCCGCACTACAATGTACTGCTCACAAACAACGCTGTGACGTCACAGCCACGCCACAAATCAGCTCAGCGATATTCATTGATCGAATTAAAGGACTGATACACTCACCCAGCGCATCAGCAAAAAAATTCCATAATTTTCATGACCAAATTCACAACCAGATTCCTGATGCTTCGATGCGTGTCAGGTCGCATCCCTATTGGGCTATCAAGTGTCACAGAACCACGTAAAATACGTTTGCGTAAGGCAGAAGAATTAGAAAGCAATGACATCACACCTCGCCCAGGCCTGCTGCGAATAAACCGCGCATCTATCAGCCAAAAGATCCACGTCAGATTTGACGTTTTAGTGCACGACAGTTACTGAGAAGTCAAAACTATTTCCAGCAAGCATCTTGAGAATTCCTCAGTCAATTAGAGCAGGACTTCCAATCTCCGACTCCCCAATTTATTCAGCATAGGCTCGCAGCAGTTTCCACAAACGTCCAGTCACACAATGACATTAATCACACAAATTGACCGTCATCGTGCTTGAAACTTGGTAGCATAGTCATCAATTGTGTAGATTGCCTTGCCGATGCCGAAGCTTGTTGTAGCACGCATCACCACCTCTCTTGGGCCAGTTCCAGTTGATCACCTTTGATGGAAAGCTTGGCCGACATTGGCAGAGTCTTGCCGTCGGGGAAGGCATTTGAGACGCACAATCTCAGCCCCGCAACGCCTCACTGGATGCCCACCTTCGCTGCCCTATCTGCCACTGTGTGTAATCCAGTGGCGGTACATCATTTGGCCCCCCAAAGCCCGTCACCTGTCCCGTGAGACCATTGCTGCGTTGCACCATCACCAGCGCTGGCGCCTCTTGGCGTTTGCGCGTTCCGCAAGCCGCAACCCCACGTAGCCTTCGAGGCCTCCACCCAGCCAGTGGATCCATCGGCGAAGATTCGCCACGAGTTGCAGCGATCGCCGGTCACACCGATTGCCATCGGTGCTCGCAACCTCTCGATCCCGATCGCCGGTGCGAACCAATCGACGCGCAATGCTGCAGGCGATCGGTGCAGATCCATCCTTCCGGCAGCGCTGCGTTGTCGTAAGCGGTTCCCGAGTGAGGACGCAGCTTCGCAAGCGAAGCGCGCACGTCCAAAAGGGTGGCGCCTGGAACCCAGTGCATCGCGTCACACCTTGGGATGTAGGACCTCCGTGGCGTCGGTATCGTGTCCCATACCTCGGCAGAATTGGACACACATCGAGATACCCATACGTCTTGCCTCATTGCTGTCTCCATATGCTCCTTTTATGATGGAGATCGTCACTTTATAGGAGGCTAAGCCCTTTTTTCACTTTTGTGGATTTTCGCCAATTCCTAGCCATCTTTTGAGGCTCACGGGTCGCTAGCTTGCCATAAATTTCATCATGTATTGGCGACCCGAACATTAACCAACAGAACTTGTTGCTAATGTGATTTATTTTGCTGACTTTATTGGAGCGAATGGGTCTATGGCTCCACGTGGTAAATGCTACAGTGGTCGTTTTATCGACACCATCCACATATCTGCTGAAACAACTGGCCATGAGCTCTTGAGCTCGCTTGAGGGAAGTAATGGCAATCAATGTTGGAAAAGGAAGGCAAGTTCGTATCCCAGCACTGAGCTGCTGTTCCCTGCACAGTGCAATTGCTACGGAATCACACCTTTCTGATCCACTGCCTAAGAATTTCACCACAAAAGGCGTGTGCCTCTTCACATTGACGGTACTTGGTGAGCTGCACCCAAGCCTCTGTTCACTTTTGTTGCCAGGCCTTGGCTCACTAGCGCTTCACAATTAGTCGCCGACTCCAGGGGCAACAATCACTTCCGGCTGCCACTGAGTCTTTGCAGGGCGTCCCTTCTTCACTCCATGAATATCTGAGTTAGGACACCAAGTGCACGCTCGGTCTCGAGGAGCTCTCGACCGCGCACCCTCGTGGGGGCGAAGGCCGCGTAGGCACGCCTTCCTGGCGCCTGCCCTCATCCATCACATCAGCGGCCGATCAACACTCTTCCTCAACCGCATTAACGAATAAATGGCTTCGGCAAGCAATTAGTGTGAAGATTGCGGCCCCTCCACCACACCGCCCGGCGACGCGAGGGGGTCGCGTCCCGAGTGCCGCCGGGAACAGACAGCAGCGCGTCCCCACCGGTTGGACTGCGCCGCCTGCAAGACGCCCAGCAGATCAGACGGCTGCGTTTCAGTGCCCGGGCTCGGCCGCCAGCTGTCAGCGGAAGTCCGCACGAAGGGCGCAGTTGCCATCAGGCACGAAGTCCCAGGGGAACCCGGGCAGGGGTGAGTACGAACGAGAGCATGCGCCGATGGCTGTCGGCACGGCGTGCCGAAACTGGGCTGTGGCGGACCGCTCCTCGATCGGGAAACACGGGGCTAGGATTGTGTGGATTGCTCCCGCCTTTCCGTGTCTTGCGCCCATGGGCCCGCCGGATGGTCGCGTCGCGTGTGCATTGCCCCGCGCGTATCTTCCCGCGCTGTCTTGTCAACTGACACTGGATTTGTCGTGTTGCCTCGGCGCTTGTCCTGCGCCTCAGGGAGGGAACTGACCGACGAGCACCGTATTCTGGAGGGCGGGTACGGCGGGCCGGAGTGGCTCTGTTGACTTCCGAGGGTTGTTCCCTGAAAGGGGGCTTCTGCGGTGGCGGGTGGCAGAAAAGGGTCGCGCGGGATATTGGGAGCGCACTAAGCGCCTCTTGCGCAGCAGAGCCTGACAAAGCCCTCGACTTTAGCAGCGCATAGTCTTTGGGCTTGCCGCAACACAGCGAGGTGTTGGCTGGTGGTGCGCACGTCTTGCGCATGATCGAGCCCCCTGGGATGGAAACTTGCGAGGGCCCGGCAGCCGCTGTGAAGGTGGGTTTGCCCGCCCACAAGCGGGCCTCGTCCATTGAGGGGCCCGCGGGGTTCTCATTGCGCAGACTGTCGGTCAGTGGCTGGGACTCGCTAGAGGCGATAACGGAGGGGACGGGAGGGGGCCCGACTTTCGACGGAAACCAAATTGCTGCCGGCGTTAATTCGTTCCTTCAGGACGCGGGCCTGGACGCCCTTCGGCCCTTTGCGGTCGTGGAGGCGGTTGAGAATGGGCTCGGAAAGAATTTGACGGACAGCCCTTCGGCGGGAAATCCTTTCCTCGCGGATGCGGGACGGGTGCCCGCGCAGTCCGGTGGGGCCAATCCTTTTGCCGCGGAGGAGCCGATGCGGGAGGCCCCTCTGCAACACGGCGGATCCAATCCGTTTGCGGTCGAAGAGGAGCGCAGGGAGGCTGGGCGTGCTGGGGGGGCTGTCTCTCGGCCGATGCAATCCATGGACACTGTTGGCTCCCGGGTTTGGAGTCCCTTTATGGCGCCGGAAGTCCAGACCGACGACGCGTCCGGCCCTGGCCCCGTCGCGGCCCTGGGCGGAGGGGATGGCGACCCCCCTGGGGTTGCCGACGACTGCCGCATGGGTTCTAATTTGGACGCTTCCCTTCAGGAGCTTGCGAACGGCGTGGTGCGCCCTGACGGCACCGGCCAAGTGCAGAGCGCGGCAGAGGAGGGTGGAGGCCGCATGGAAACGCCAGGCACTGAGGAGTTCGGCAGCCTTGGTGGCATTCCGGGGCACCTTCGGTCGATCAACACAAAGAGGAGGACCCACTCAGCGGACTCCAACGGGAGGTTTGACTTCGCCGCGTTCGCTGCCGAGCACATGCTTAACTATGACGCAAACTACGAGTCAATGTTCTCCCCCGGAGCATTGACGAGCGTCGACTCCATGGACGTTGGAATGGAGGAGCAGAGGCTGTTCGAGTTGGAGCTCTCGCGGCGGGAAGCCGAAAATGAGGTAGCCCAGCTCAGACTGCAGCTCAAGTCCAAGACTGGTCAGCTCCAGCAGGTGCAAGAGGTGCTGCTGACCTATGAAGAAGAAATCATGAAGCTCAAACATGACATGACAGAGATAATGAGCACAAGGTCTGGAACAGAGGCAGGGTCCTGCGACGGGGAGGATGGGAAGGACCATTCCAGAACAGCATCGTCAGTTGCAGATGGCATGGTGTCTGTGGACATTGCTGAGGCGCTGAGCTCCAAAATTGTGGAGCTGCAGGGGCAGGTTCAGGATCTGGAGGAGGAGCTCATAAAATCCAAGCTTGACAATGTTGCTTTGAAGGAATCAAATGAATCCATGAGGGCTGTTGTTAATAAGGCCAACAAGGGGAGAGGGGTAAATATGTTTGCCAGGATTCGAACGAGTACATAGTGTCTGACTCTTGTGTGGGGCATGGATTGCGAGGCCAGAATTCTGGTGAATTTTTTGTTGTTAATGCGCATATGTGTGGGTGTGGAGAACGCTGCGTTTCAGGGCATAATTTGCTCTTTTGGCATCTGCACGTTTGCCTGGGGGGTGTCTGGTAACCAATGTGCAGTTCCTGTCTAAAAGAGCATTGCTGGGGGAGGGCAGGCGAGCTCGGGAAATGGTGGTAGTGGGGTGGAGGGCAGGGAGAAATGCCTAGCTGTCTGTCTGCCAAGAGCTCGTTCATATGTCATGTACGTAGCTTCCCACGCTTAGACCCCGCATTTGTTGTGAATTGCTTATTTTGAAACGAACAAAGATTGAATTTGGACGACTTGGCACTGGCTTGCTTGCACTATTGCAAAGCTGGGGAGATGGCCACAGTTCGGCCTTTCAATCACACCACCGTGGGTGTCTCTGCCATATGCACTCTTGCCTTTGTGTAGATGCACAATCTAACGTGTGCCCCTTGGCTGCTGGCGACTGCGCTGCCCACTTCTGACAACCTGCCTTGCATGATGCCAAGGATTGACACAGCAGTCAGCAGCAACCAAGGGCCACGTATTAGATTGTGCATATCCACATAGGCACGTTCTGAAGATGTGACCTCAGCTTTTGAATCCTTTGCCTGTTCCCCTCCCTTTAGAATGGGTGGTGGGGATGTGCGCCCAAATGAGGGTTTGGAGGACGAGGAAACAGGCGACTCCCCCGTGACGCTGATGTCATCCGTCCACACGAACTGTGCAATCATGCCACTGCCCTGGTTCTATTATGTTGGCCAAAATGCGGGGCGGATGCCTTCCAGTCATGTAAAGAGTGGGACCTTCAGGCAGTCGCGAGTACCCATTGGACCCCGTCTCCGAGCCGCTCGCCCAATGAACCACGCTTTGGCCACGCATGTTGCCCTATTGTGTGTGTCTAGCGTGAACAACGATGACATGGCCACCAACCTTATGTAGCTGCCCTTGACATGGCGCGCTGGGCATGTCTATCGCGTCGTGGGGACCCAGGGGGGGGGATCAAGAAAACACGTTGCAAGCAAGCTCATGATCGGCAGATGAATGAGGTTAGACAATGCCACGTTGTGACGGAGCGTTCGTCGAGCAGTTCAGCCCACACTACTGCAACTGATACGGCATGGGAAGAATGCATGGGATGCAAAATCTTGGGATTGACGGTGCTCGATGCGCCTACAATCATAAACAATGCGCACGCAAGGTCGGAATGTGGGAGAAGCAAGATTCGGCAGATATGATATGGCAGAACCCGCGTCTAAGCATAGTCTGTAGCCTCGCTTGCCTGCCGCAACTGCCCGTGATATGGAACGAACAGCTTAAGGGTTGGGGCTTAGACAGCCAAGACAATTGGCTGCTGCTCAAGAATACAATATCAAAGAACGCGTAGGAAGGTAGCCAACTGGGCGTCCCTTACACTGAGCAAGAAATGACAACTCTCAAAGGGAGTCCTAATTCAAGGTCAACGATATCAGAGTGATGCGATGCTCAGCCCAGTCGGGAGACATCTTGGGTCTCAGCCACCAAACAGAAGTTTCAATTTTCTTCTCTTTCTAACTATGCCGACCCGCACCACACCTAAACCTTCCGCATTTCTTAAAGCCTAGCGTCAAGTTCCAACAGTTCGTCCTCTACAATTTGATCAATGAGCATAGCATCATTTTCTTTGGCTCCGCCCCGCCCAGCAAGCAGCCGCTAGACGGCAGAAGAGGATGGGTGGCCTTGGGGAGCGGCACACAGGCGCACCTACTGACCTTGTCAAAAATTACGTAGCCACACTGTTGGTAAATGGTACTAACCAGCCATGGCTTGTGGTGCGCAATCCAAAGGGCCCAAATGCAAGAAATACGCGAGCCTTGTCGACTCCATAAGGGAATGGGCAAGCTGGAACTGAGGAGGGCCGCAACAGTGTCCCTGTTTACAGCAGTCGGACCTGCGCATGGCATGGCGTGGTACAGCAGTACGACGGTGTCCCTATTGACAGCAGGCTGTTATCTTTGATATGTGATGTTTCTCGTTGAGGATGCAGCAGCATCAAGAAATATTGCACATCAAAGATCGCAGTCTTCTACTTGACCAGCATCATCACGTGATGACAGCAGACTGCAGCATGTGTCATGCACTAGGCGGCATCAACACCATGCCGCAACTCATGTTAGTGCTCTAGTGTTTGTGCTTTTTTTTGGTGTTGTGTGTGTGTGCGTGTTGCGTTTTGGGGTTAGCGCGGCACTAGCAACTGTGTGAGGGGCTTCCGCACACATTGGATGCCACAAAAGATCGTGCGGGTTGGCCTGTGGGTCTGAATCGATGAGGATGCCCGCCTTGTGGAGGGTATTCCAACCCTGCTCCACGGCCAGTGCACCACCGGCGGAACAACTCGCCATGAATCCCGTCGCCCTTGGACGGCGTCCTGTCTTCGGGCCCCGGGCGCTGCGGCCGTTGTCTGTCTCAAACTCGCCCTCGGCGCAAAGGGGATCCAGCTCGGCCGCGCTGGTCGGCGGTCGCCGAATCCTCCGCATTGGGGCGCAACGGGTGGACGAAAAGACGGCACAAAGCGCTGAAACCGACTCTGAGGATGCTGCCTCCGTTTCCGCCACTCCTGAGGTCGGCTCTGCCGATGATGCCACCAAGAAATGGGGATTGGAGTTCGGCATCTTCAAGGCGATGACATCCAAAGATGGGACGAAAAAGGGGCGGGCGGAGCAGGCCAAGGAGCTGCTGAAGAAATACGGCAGTGCGTACCTCATCACGTCCATCTCGTTCGCCATCATCTCCTTTGCGCTGTGCTACGCCCTAGTGTCCGCGGGCGTGGACGTCGCGGCCTTGCTCGCGAAAGTGGGAATCTCTGCGTCAGGCACGAACGAAACCGTGGGCACCGTGGCGATTGCCTACGCGGCCCACAAGGCCGCGTCGCCGATCCGCTTCCCCCCAACGGTCGCGCTGACGCCCATTGTGGCGGAGTGGATTGGAAAGAAGGTGGACAACAGTGCGGGGGGGGATGGCCTGGACGAGTCTGGAGACAGTGGGAGTGGGTGAGGGGAGGCCATGTGCAGACAAGACGAAAAGGAACGCGTGAGGGGACTCTTTGAGGTGTTAAGTCTAAAGTCAACTCCGGTGGACTCTGGCTCAGCGGTGTGATGCAGATGAATCTGGGTGGTGGGGGTAGGATTTGTTACAAAAGAGAAAGAGAAGCAGGCCATACAAAGGGCACCCCCTCCTAGGCAAGTGTATGTGAGGCTCTTTTCCATGCTGTGAAAAGATGATATGGAGCCTCCGATGCAAAGATGAGCGCACAACACTGGGTGGTGGGCTTGGGCGGAGCTTGATGATTCGAGGCCCATTCTGTGGGATTTTTCCATCGTTTGAACTGGAATTCTTTGGCAATTGAAAGTGTGCGGGATTTTGTCGTTTCGGGGTGTTGCCTCCTTCACCAACCCGATGCACTTTTATTGCCTTCTTGATGATATGACTGCACTCTGTTTGCAAGGCACCCTTGCACATTCTGGTGGTGCTTCTTTTAGTTGATGATTGAGTGATTACCCGCTAGCGTTATTCAACATTGAAGGCTTAGCGGAGATGCATATGTATGTATCAGTGCCAGAATGCCAGGATGACAGATGTGGCCAACGTCTGAGCTTCTTCCTGAGACAGCCAGCCAGGCACAAGTACAAAAATATTGGACATTGCTACAAAGGGCACACCACCAATGTCACAGTTCATTGCAGTTTGTGCTGTATTGATTGGGTTCACAAGGGAAGCCCATTTTTCCCCTGGGAACGATGCTGGATTTGATGATGTCTGGGCAGTATATGGCAGCATAAAAACAGAATCGTTGCTCCTTTGTTTGCCTTGATGTCAAGATTTGCACATTATTATGTAAGTTTTTATCTGACGAACGGCACAAGATGTGCAGGCAACCAAGATGTGCATCACAAGGGTGTCCGTCAAAGGCAGTGGAAGATTCCTCTGTTTTGCAGCCTATGCTTGTGCCCTACTATGTGTAGTACATTGCATTGCATTAATTGGCTTGTTCAAGTCCACCTATGATCTTGCTTATATTCCTCTTTGGCGAATACCGCAACAGACAAGGCCAACGTGGTTATTCGCTTTTCCATTGCGTCTTTGGGCGTGTGGGGAAGCACACTAACAGAAACGATGCTCATGGTCCCTGTCAGCTTTGCCTGCAAGAAGCAGCTATATCCGTCCAGCACAAAGCAGGAAGCGATGATCATCAAGGAAAACAGATGGAGCTGGCTCGAGCACAGGCGCTTTTCTGCAGGGGCATTGCGACCAAGTTCTACATTGCTTCATTCAGGACACAGTATTAAAACTGTGTCACACGGCATGACGCCTTGACGTCCGCAATTCCCGGTACTAGAGCCGACTTTGTCCCGCACAACAATCCACTAGCCAGCAGCGCTACAAAAAAAGTCACCCCAACCGTCAATGACCCTGGTAGACTCCGGTCAGTGACAAAGTGCTCCGATGTCATGATGCATTTGGTATACGTACAAACGCAAATTTAGCCTGCGAAATCCGCACCCATGTGTGTGTGCACGAATAGAGGCAACCGTAACATAACAGGCCAGATTCCGGGACGCCCAGACCGCGCTGCCTGACAGCGCAGGAACCAGCCCGGCGCAGTAGCCAATGGGATCTCAGACCCGGTTCAGGGCACGAGGGAACGCCCAGAAAAGAAGGCATTAAGGGGAACAGCTTTCGCCAGCGGAAGCCATTCTGTGCACCAACAAATGACACAGGCAGCACTGCCCGTTCTGATTTCTGGATGATGCAAGAAATGGAGCTCTTTCTTCTTTCACTCTTGGCAGTTTTCCATGTCAAGTCAAGGATGTAGCCATCGGCTTCCTTGCTTGCCCGAGAAAATCAATGTGCATGACTTTTCCATGGAAATCCAAAGCATACCACAAACGCAATCGAAAACCCGACAATCCTTAATTCGCTGGAAGTGCTTGTGCCACAAGCATTTGTCGATGATCACACATTGAAAGAAGTGCTTTCTCCAGCTTCCGGGTAGGACAGAAGAAAAATGTGTCCCAACAAGCCGGAAACACAAAAGGACAAGAAAATGAAGAAAACGGCCAAAAGAAAAACAACAAAGAGAAGCAGGAACTGTCGTAATAAGCCGGCCGTCGTCGTCAGTCACCGAAAATATTGCAGGAGAAACAACCAAGAGGGTCGTCAACGGCACAGCGTTCGGAATTTCCAGTACGCATCTGGAGGAACGGAACATCGCGGCCTGGAGACGCTGGCGCATTGGACACGGGCGGCATCAAGCGAACCACCGCACCCCAGAACGCTGAGGTGCGCTTGAAATTCAATGTCTCCAAGAACCACAGCAGTGTCTGGTGTCTCAAGTTCCATGCCTTGTTCTGGACTCTGTATTGTATCAAATTTGCCATCTTTCTGGACTCTGTATTGTATCAAATTTGCCATATTCGTTATCTCGCAGACTACCACTTTCATTAACAAAGGGGAGCTGATCAGCAGCACAAGAACTGGTGTATGCATGTGCAGGTCTTCTTCAACCAGTCCCTCCAGGTGCACATACAGTGGGTGCCGGTACCGGCACCTATTTAGCTGGCCAAGCTGCGCATGGACCCCACCAGTCCACCAGTGAACTGTTCAGCTCCGTGCGAAGCTTGGCCAGTGGGTTGCTCCGTCCACCTTGCGCCCACTGCCCGGGATGCGAAGTGCAGAATAAAGCCAATGACAGTCCGTCAAAAGACAAAATGCAAAACCCTCAAGCTGATATTCAAATTGTGGAAGGGCTGAATGTACTACGGTATGAGGTCAAGCTGGGTTACCAGGTGAGGCGCCCCCCGCCTTCGACCACTGGTGCCGGAGTGTGCCGCGTGCGTGCATCTGTGTTGCACATCCCCCGAGCCTCATTCGTTTTCGTCCGCGGCACTCGGGAGCAGAGCATGTCGAACATTTGTGACAGGAATCTGTTGAGAAACACTGTTTGCGAGACAGCCGCGTCGGCGGCACCCTGCAGGGATCCCGCAGGATCTGGCTGGCAAGGAGTGTTCTTCGTTCCTGTGCACGGGGGCAGTTTGTGTTGCCTTGGTGGCACCGCGGTTGCCGCAGCAAGGACGCGTGGCAGCCCGTGGCTCTTGAGAGCATGCCGCTTTCGTGCCCATTCCCCAATCAGGGATGCCGTCCGCAGGCGGCACATCCCCCGCCACCCTGCAGCCCGCTGCCTCCAACGTTTGGATCCACAAGGACAATGTTCAAGGTCTGGTGGGCTCATTGACGATATCAGTCCGGTTGTGCTCTCCGCTCCTGGGCAATTTACCAGCGAAATGTGCGATTAAAGTTGGCCTGCGCCGTTCACGAGACTTAGCCCAACCCAGGCTGGAAATCAATCAGATTCTGTACTCCATGGTTGTTGAAGCGGCTGTTTGCTGTGCTGGCGTCCACTTCCAGATCCATGTGAACCACAATCAACTGCACAGTTATCGACCAGTGCTTGGCCATGGGACTAGGCTGCCTGGAATAAGATGGAACCATGCAAGGGAAAGAAGGGCATTCACCAGGTATGCATTTGTACCAATGGCAAGCTGAGAAATGTCACATGGTGTATTAAGACATGGCCATTTGACAGGACTTGGGTGCATCAAGCACCTCTGAGATCTGTTTGTGCCTGCCTTTCCAGTGGAATTCATATCCCTCGGTGCGGAGGGCAAGGGTCCATCCAAGAACATGAAACATCTGTCAGTTGTGCAACAAGGGCCTTCCCTTCCCAACCCCCACCCTGCTTGTCGCTTTGTCTGCTGTGGCAGCATCTCTCACAGCAGACAGAGACTTTTTTGCAACAAGCAGCTGACTTGCAATGGAAATAGAGTTGGCTTTGGTGGGTCTTCTGTAAGAGCAGAACTGAATTGATTTGATATTCTGCATACCTCACTTGGAGCAACGTTAGCCGAGCTATGCATTCCATAGTTGATTTATCAGCAATGGTAAGTAGAACGATGTAGTGAATAGGCATGTCTGGCCCTCAATTTTGTGAGCACCCCAAAGACCCACGATGTTGGAAATATCAGTAGTCCAAGGATAAGTATTAGTAACCGAAACCTGCTGGGATGAGCTATGCTGAATGAACTGGCCTCCCAGAGCTCTGGAGAGGAGTAAGCAAGGACTGATTCTGTGGTTCAGTATATGAATGTGGCAGACGATTGATAAGTGTTTTACTCACCAAACTCTGTAGATCAGTCAATTGAAACTCTACCAGCATGGTAGTCACTCACTTGCTAGCTCTGCTCATTATGCCAGCTTGCCTTAGGAAATTCCCCAGTAGAGATGCACAGTTCAGCCATACCCAACACAATTCCTCACATGAGCTGTCTGGATGTCACAAGACAACACACAGCACTTGCAAGACCCTGTGCAACCCCTGCACTCCCATATGTATTGCTGATGACTGAAATCTGCCTGCCCTGAGAAAAAGGGGGTTAAATACTGGTGGGCTGCTTCGCGTTACAATGTGTGACAATGTGTGTGGCAATTTGCAGTGCATGACAGTATGCTCTGCGAACCTTGCCGCCTACTTTAAAAACTGTGTCCAACATGAGCCATTTTCCATGTCTTGTTGATTGTGCAGACCACCTGTCACAAGTCTGCATCTGTATTTGAGGTGTTCCATATGGCATGCCATTTTCAGGCGAAATGGGTGAAAACATGGACTGGCTTGGGATTTTCTAAGCAGATTAGAATCTAGACTAGCTTGGGGATTCAGACAGGGTAATGACAGGAGGCGTGATGCCTTGTCTTATCAGGTGGAAAATTGTTGCCCTGAGTGCTGTTGTTGACTCTCCGCAGGCACATGTGTTCAGCATCCAGAGAAGGCGTTACCCAACAAGCTGATCTCTCAGCCGGTTTCAATCTCCAAACTGCTGTTAATCTTGCGTGCTGTGCCTTTGAGTCCTATCTTGACCCACCAGTAGAGGATCAGTCTTTGTGGCAGGTGCACACTTCGGCAAATGGAGTGAAGACAACTTATGTGGAAAGGTACAGAAACTGGACAGATAACAAGTTCACATTAGCAACAGTCGTGATTTTACAGATAGCTCAGAAACACTTGCACCAGTTAGGAGCAGCAGCAGATACTGGCACCTGCTAATCTGCTTTCTTATGCCTTGAGATATGAAAACGCTGAATGAACACCATCTCAAAATGATACAAATAGCTCAGGATGCCGATGTTTTCCTGAGAGACTGTACACCTGGCATGCTGTGTTCACTGGTTGCAAGGTATTCTTTCTTTGATGGGGAATGTCAATACTGCATTGTGATAGATGTGTTGAATTGTGCCATGCAGGCGCTTCTTGACCGATTCCTTTGATGGTCTTGTCAGCGTGGAAGTTATGAGTGCATCTGATCTTCCAGAAAGAGATGTAAGTGTGAGCATTTGTGGCATGAACGGCTGTAATCTTGCTTGTGGAGGGTTGGTATATGTACAAGTATTTGTAGGTGAGTAGCTGAACACTATGTGCTTTTGCTTGTAGACGTTGGGGGGGAGCAACCCATACGCTGTGGTGAGCATTGGAGAGAGCTCTGGCAGGACAGAGACTGTCGCTTGGGGCGCCGAGCCAACTTTCAACGAGAAATTCTACCTTTTTGTGAGGTGTTGACTGCTGAAGATTCCAACAACGGGTTGAAGGCTCATTGTATTGACTTGAGTGCTCATGCAATGGCACTTGTGCTTGCTGGGCAAATTGATTGCATGACACCACTTGATATGTGCTTGTTGTTTGGATCAATCTTAGGAGCTCGGCAAAGTGTGCAAAATTCCCTGACTGTTGGACAGCTGCACAGGGGCATCCATTCAGTCCCCTGGTCTTTATGAAGAAGATCCTAGACTTTGCGGTAGCTGATGCAGCCTAAAGCCTGAAAACGAAGTAACAAAGTACTGAGAAGTGCTGAAATCAAAGTAACAACAGGCTGTGAAATCAGCAAGAAGACTGGGAGAGTAGCACATTCTTCCACATTGGCATAATCTTTGAAATGTGATCTGTCATGTAGCGGAGGATTAGTGAGGAATTTAATTTATGGGCCCTTGTCTGTGGGGTTACATTTCTGAAGATCGGGATGCTGATGTGCACAGAACAAGGGTGCGATTCCTTTGATTATGCGGACAAGAAACACAACAGAACACATACAGCCCTTGCGCCCCGTAGGCCATGACAGGCACTTGCTGCATCCATGAGTGCTTTGTTTTCAGAGCATTCCCTTGTTTCCCTCTCAAATTCAGGTAACTGGAATGTACCGACATTTGTTGCTGAAACAGGAGCCCTGAAAAGGATGTCCTGGTGGTGCGGATGTTTGATGAAGATCCTGCAAAGTCTGATGACAGTCTTGGTGCGGCAATGTTGCCTGTGAGGTCATTGCTTGATGGGAAGCACCATGACCTGGAAATGGAGTTGAGGGGAGATGGTGGAGGTGGAAAGCTCAAGCTGAGCGCAAGGTTTCTCAGGTTTGAAGGTGACATTGCACTTGCGATGTGAATCTGAGGTGACAAGGAGTTCAACATTACCTGTTTGGTGCATGCTGAAGTTTCGAATGTTGGTTATTGGCATCTTCACATCCAGATCAGTACCCACAGAAGAATCCAAGTCATTCATTTTGGGCTGCGGTCCACTATCCTGCATTCACAGGATGCATAACAGCCCACGTAAAGTTCATGAATATTCTTTGCCTTTCAGTTGTTGGATTTCAGGCCTCCTGCTATGCTTAGGGACATCTGCAGAGGCAGATGTAGCTTCGTATTTAAGATTCAATCCAACCTTATGAATATCAATTCAGGAGCTGGTGTAAGACCCTGACCTGCCCAAGTTCTGAAATTAAGCCTTTCCAACTGCACAGTAGATAATGGCCATAACAAGGAAGCTGGCGACATGCTTTCTAATGTGTCATTAATGCTTTAAGCGGTAAACACTGTCTCCTGCCTTGCTCTTGTTTGTGTCTTTGAAGTTTCAGGACTGAGGATTGTGGTCCTAGATGTACTAGCTACCCTTTTCAGGATAGTTGGTCGCCTTTGTTTGTGAGGCCATATTTGTATCACACGCTGGATCGCACCAAGGCACCCACAATGTGGAAAAACCGTGCCCTCCAGAATAATAATGGCAAATGGGTGAGTACAGCAGATTTGACAGTTCAACTTTCAAGCAGTCACAACTCCTTACCAGAATCTGACCATTTGCACGACTTTGCTGGCACCACCACAAAAAATATGGAGTCCCTTGCCTGAGAATTGCACCACTCAGGTGTTGACCGCCCTCTGTGAACTCCCATGTTGCTGGAAGGGCAGAACTGCCAATAAGACCATACTTTTACCCAACGATAGTCACCCAACGTCGTGGCCAATGGGCAGAATAGTGCTGGAGTCCATTCCTTGATGTTGCAGATTTTGTAAGTGCGCACCATCCTGCACGGCAACATGCCAACATGTCTAGGATCCACTGTTGTCAGTTGGTTGTCTTGTGTCCAAGGCTATGCACAGAGCAGCAGTGTGCTGTGATAGCTTTCTGTGCATTGAAGATCGCCCATTGATTGCATCCTTTGTGTTTGAAAGACCGCCACTGCTGCAGCACCGTGAATACTGCCAAGCACAGCAATGAAGGCTTGGACGTGTAATTGGAGGCCCTAAGTGTCTGTAGGTTGAGCACTCCTGGGCTGTGCACCTTTTTGGTAGCCTTGCACTGCAGCAGCAGTGCTTCTAGTGGCATTTCTCAACAAGCCATTTCCTCCGATCCTTTGCGTCCCATGCAGATCATCGGCCAAAACTGCTTCCAAACTTCTTGCGGTGGTTGCAGCACCTATAGTTTCCCAGCATTCTGAAATCTTTGTGATTGTGAAATCTGCTAAGTGCAAGTTTCCGATCCGAAGATGAGAATCTTGCTGATGTTGAAGCCATGCTCACGATCCACCGAGTCATATGGAACTCTGTTGTGGACTGAGTTGTATGGAATTCTGTTCTGCAATGTCCCACTTTGTGGGAACACCTTTGACCTGTAGCCAAGGCAGTGACCAGATACATCAATACTGCACGGCACACTGGTGGGTCCAAGCTGCAATAACAGCAGTCCATTCTGGCTGAGTTTATTGAGACCCTGATCGTTTTGGACTTCATGCTGTGAGCAGCCCATATTGAAGCACAGCCAAAGCCTTTGTACCTGTTCATTTGCTACAATTTCTGGGTAGTACTATGTCTATTCAGTGTGGGTTCCCTGATGTGGTTTTGAAGAAGAAAACATCAAGTGATACGCTTGTGGCATGCCAAACAAAAGACACTTGATTCTGGATGAAGTGCCTTGTCTGGCTGTTTGTTTGATGCTTTCATTGCAAGGCCAATTTGAATCTATCCGATCTCCCTTTCAGCATGAAGTTAAAACAACTCTCCTGCGTGGACGTGGCAGGTGACCTGTCTGAATCATTGTCAGACTATGACGAGGAAGATCTGGAGTCGATTGCAGCTGTTTCAAGCCCTCTTGATGATGTTGGCGATGTGTTGGAACAACAGATGGCATCCCTGGCTGCATTTTCAACACCATCAATGCCGTTGCCATGGAGAGCTCTAGCGAAAATGGCTGGTCAGAGTGCAGAAGATATGTCCAAACCTATTGCCTTTGTCGAGGACCCCACAACAGACACCCAGGTGATAGCTGTACCACTGTGCTCCTGTAGCAAACATGGGAGCGGATGCAACTGCACATGGGATGTTGTAGAGAAAGAACTTGCTGCCATCTGATTTTTGAGGACATGGGGCACTGTCACCACTTGAGCGTTACAGGTTCGTATTCCTAAGAGTCCTGCAGAGATTAAACTTGCCAAAGCTTGTTGAGAAATGCAGCAGTCCACCATTTGGGGATGAAAGCGTCTATAGGTTGCCGGTTGGTAGTGGCTCCAGTGTATGGGTTGCCGATTGGCAGTTGTTCCGGCTCTGGTGGCATTGCCTGACTTCACACGGCAGTTTGTTCACTTGGCAGCATTTTGCCCCAACTCTCTTGTGCAGGCATGGGTGTACAGAGAACTGCAGCAGAAGCGTGTCATTGTTGCATTTCGAGGAACAGAGCAGGTCAAATGGAAGGATCTTCTCACAGACCTCAACTTCCAGCCTGTGAGCTTTAATGCTGAGCGAACAGATGCCATGCGTCCACTGACGCTTCGGCTGTTCGACCAAGCGTCCAAATCACTGCAGGTCCATAAAGGGTTTTTGGATGCCTACGATTCAATTCGCACGAGGATCTTCAGCATCGTTGATGCAGTAACAGAGCGTGATGCACAGTGGAGTATTGCATGCACTGGCCATTCTTTGGGTGGAGCTCTTGCAACATTGTGTGCATATGAGCTCGCGACGAGACGGTGAGCTGACAACGACACTGGAATCACAAATGCATGTCAGTGGGGATTGGACAGTCAATGCTGTGTTTGGAACACGAGCGGCACAGCTGCACTGCCCTGTGGTGACATGGGTGCCAAATTTTGCCATATTGTTGCACAATGTGAGCACTGCTGTTGTCAGGCTCAATTGATCCTTTGGCTCCTCTGCACAGTCTTCACTTCATTTCCCTTGTATGGACCCACAATGAGCACCAGGTTGTACAATCTCACCGCTGGAAACCCACTGATTGGCAATTATTGAATCGCTGCAGCTGCAGCGATGAGTACTTTGTGCTTCTTACGCTGTGGGACTCCCTTGCTTGTATGGCATGGGTGCCTAGCTCTACCCTTGGAAGTGGAGCGACTTGTGGACTATGATGTGTCATTGTGATTCAAATGTATTGCAATCGATGACGGCCACTGACTTTGAAACAGCTGACGTGTTGAGCTCCCCTTGTGTTGCCAGGCCAGCTAAGTCTGGACGTGACCCGAAAGTTGAAATGTACAACTTCGGCTCCCCACGTGTTGGGAACAGAGCTTTCGCCGATGCATACAATGCTGTTGTTTCCGAATCGTGGCGCATCACGAGCAGTCGCGATGCCATACCCACAGTACCCAGACTGGCGGGCTACAAGCATGTAGAAAACACGGTGATCTTGACGGGTACTGGACTCAACTTTGAGAACACTCCAAGGGACTTGTGGGAAGGACGCGTGATGAGGGAGGTAGTGGAGGAAATTTCTGAAAAGGTGCACAGGGGTTTTGAGGGTGGTACGCCATTGATTGGCATGCTGCCGTGGTGAGGGCAGTATACCCATATGATTTTGAACATATGCCTCATGGCTTTGTGTAGTGAATCAGAAAATAACGATGGCTTCTCTTCGCTAATGATAGCTTTCTCTGAGGGAAATGGCCTCTGCTCATGGCTGCTTGGCAATGTACTTGCTCAGCACCACTGTCAGTGTATGCTTGCACGCGCGTGGTTATCGTCCTTCGTCAGAGAAAGGTTGCATATCCTGGACATTGCGCCCATATCCAGGATATGGGGAGAGGATGTGGAATCACCGTACATCCTATTGCAAATATCCAGGACATCCAGGATGTGGGACATTTTACCAATACCCACGCTCGTGCAGAGATTTCTTTGTCTTTGCTGCTCGTCTATACACGTCCTTTGCGTTTGCTTCTGCGCGCTGCTGACTCTCTGTGTGGTCCGCGTCGAACTGCTGTCAGGTGTCGAGAAACCAGCAACCCATTCAGGAAATTGCAGACGAGGTTCTTGCCAATGAAAAAGAGCTCTTGGATTTGGTTCTGGATGGAAGCGGCCTGGAGCAGCACATGGAAGACTGCTACTTGGCTTGCTTAGAAGGCTGTGTGAAAAGGATGGTCTAAGGCGGATGAGGAAGTCCTGGACTGCACGTGATGCAGAGTTCTGATAGTTTCAGGATGCACTTGCTTGCGTCTGAGGGTTGATGCTAGGGCGAATCGGTCTTGCTCAACAATAACGTAACCCAAAGGGGGATGTCCCCAGGCGCTTGGCACCAAAACTCGTGTAACTGCCGCTGAATCGACGCAAGCCAGGAGGAACCCAAGCGATGCCTGATTTCTCTGAGAAGCTCCCTTAGGCGTTCAATTCAAAAGGAAGGAACCTGCAACATGACATCTCCACAACCAATGCAGTGGCCGCAGCACGTACTCGGGTCCTGTTTTGTCAATATCGTGTGGGCGCTCACTGATCTGGTGCACCAACTTCAATCAGAGCTGGTCTCCCGCTACCCCCCCCCCCAATGCGACGGACATCCGGGCCCCGTTACCACAGAAACCACATGCCAAGTTGCTTGGGAGCCCGAAAAGACTGGAAGGGATTGGGGCCGGCGCCGGGGAAAGTGAGCACGGCATTGCACCCCCCGTTGTTCGGGTCGCCAATAATCGGGTCGCACCTGGTCATCAGGATGAGCCATCAAGGTCGCATGGACTGGCGCCCGTGCGGCCCGGACCCCAGCAGTTGGCGGACTGAAGAAGCCTCATCAACCAAGGGGCCAGGTTCTATCCGCATTCCATGACCCTGCGTGTACTGGCGGACAACAGCGAGACCACCACAGGCTGGCAGGCCACAGCAAATGCGTACATGTGATTCGAAGCCGTGAAAATGCCCTTCAACGATTCTGGGTCGTCATCATGGGGCAATCACATTGTGATGTGAAGTACACCGTCCCTGAGAGGTCGCGGCCAACGGGGGGGGGGTGCGGGACTTGGTTGACAGGCACCGTCCGAGAAGAGGGCCACACCTGCCCACCCCGGTGGAGAAAGGGGCCGTGCCAAGTGGGTTTCTTCGGTGGACTCACCTTGCACGAAGGCCGCAGAACCGAAAGCCCACGATCAAGTGGCGCGCGGGGCTGTGCGACATCTTCATGTGAACTGCGGGCCTTTCTCACGTCTTAGTGGTTGGCCCCTGTGCGAGCGGTGCTTCGCTGAAAGGCTGCGTTGCGGGAGATGCCGAATCGTGACCGGCTGGGCGCGGCATGGGTGCTCCTGGCGTGCTGTGTCTTGACAGTAGTCGGGGCCCTCGAGGGAATCGGTTCAGCGCCAGGTGCGGCCCCCGACAGCCTTCACCATGGCTTCGTTCGCTGTGAACTGCGCATGCACTCCTCCGGCGTTTCCGCTCCGTTGAGTCTGCCGATTGTTGCAGCGCATGTTAGAACAGCTCTGTTTCCGTGGAGGTCTGCCCGGAACAGGCAGAAGAACACTGCAATCCTGTTTGTTGTGCTGCGCAGGCAGAGATCTTCTGCAGAGGGGGAACCGGGTGGTAATTAATGAACAGAATGCAGGGCGCCTTGCCGAAATTGTGGAAGACCTGGACAATGGGACCACATTATTTTTCGATGTCGACAGCATCGAGCTGAACGATGTTGTCCAGGTGGACGCATCGGACATCACCATCGCTGGTCGACAGGGAGAAGACAGAACGCGCATTGTATGCAGCCGTCGCAAGTCTGGCATCGAACTGAGGTACTTGTAACACCCCTGCCGTAAATGCTTCAAGTCCTTGGTTGATTGCCTCACCAGCACAAACTTGCTGCTCTTTGCTGTCCGTGTTACAACATCGCTGTCGCAAAATGCAGAAGAGCACTGCCCACTTGGTCGCTGAAGGGCAGCATCAGACTTGGTTGAAGGCTGGACAACAGACAAGAAGTAATGCCCCTGTCCCAAGCAGGAGGATGTTGCCATTGTTTTCCAGTTCAACAACCACCTCAAAAGGCCACTGTCTGCGACAGGGCACATTGTATGGCAAGTGATGGGAGCCTAAAAGGAAGATGTGTTAATTGAAGGGTACCTGTTTGCTTCTTGTGCAGGGGAACAGGCGGGTTATTGGAAAACGTTGTTGTCCAGGGCTGCAAGGATACAGCAGTCAAAGTTATCAATCGCGGTGTTGCAGACCGATCCCTGGCTGATATCTCTGCACAGATTGATGTTGCGCCAGTTTCTGCTACAATAAGGAATGTTATTTTCACTGACAACACAGATGCAGTGAGTGGCAGGGACTTTGGGGCAGTTGGCGGGGGTGGGCTTGGCGTGCATCCCGGAACGACTGTGTTTGTTGACAACTGCACATTCAGAGACAATGGCCGCTACCAGGGAGGCGCAATTTCAGTTTCTGGTGCAAACTTGACAGTACTGGACAGTGTGTTCAGTGGCAATGTGGCACAAGTCAGCGGTGGTGCCATCAAAGTTGTCTTTGAGCAGTCTGCACTGAGTGGTATCCTTGTTGATGGCTTGGAGATTCAGTCTGTTGTGAACATTACTGGGTGTGATTTCTCTGGAAACACAGACACAGAAAGTGGAGGTGCAGTAGGGTCTGGCATCACTACTGTCTCAGGAGCTCCACTTGAGTCATCCCAGTTCATCGAGTTTCCTTACCCACCCCCCTCTGGTGGAGCGGTTTATGCAAAGAAACTGTCGCAACTTGTGGTCAAGGACTCAATCTTTGATTCAAACACTGCACTTGCGGGGGGTGCATTGAATATGTTCGACTGCAGTGAGGTGGAGCTATTCAACAACACCTTTGTCAACAATGAAGCAAGGGACATGGACGACGAGCTGTCCCTGGCTCAAGGGGGGGCATTGTACATCGTTTCAGTGAGTGACCAGACAACAGGCGCCCTTGCTAGTCACGTGCTCACTATGAATAAGTTCGAGAACAACACAGCAGCTTATGGTGGCGCCTTGCACCTGATCACAGCTGTTGAGAGTAAGGTGCAGATAAGTGAGAACGAATTCAAGAGCAACACTGCCTGGTTGGGTGGCGGAGCGGCTGTGTTTCGGAACACTGGGAATATTTTGGTGAATAGCCTGAAGCTCTTGCGGAACAAGGCACAGGTTGGCGGAGGAATCATGATGGCCAATGCTGCAGGGATGTTTGGCTCTGGTGCTGCAACCTTTGAAACCAACACCATATTTGAGGAAAACGAGGCCTTGGATGGTGGAGCTATGTTTTTCTTGGGAGCAGGTGATTGTGGTCATAATTGTATGTGTCGGTACACGCTGCAAGTGCTTTTTAAAACAGCAATTGTTTTGTGGTGACCCTAATTGTCAATTGACACGCTTTCTGCTGAATTCCTTGCAATATTTCACCTCACCTGTCATTATAGGAATAAGGGGTGGGGCACAGAATGTGCAGATCCAAGAAGGTAGAGCAAAAGCCACAAAGCTGCCAAAGTTGGCTCATGCTTCGGAACCTCGCTGAATACCAGCTCTGGCTATTGTAGGAGCCCTGCTCAATTCTGAGGTGGCCGAGATCAGAATAGGCGCATTGTACGAGATTTGCATACACATATTGCACTGCTGCGTTACTTGGACACATGTGACATTTTTCTGTATGCTGTTCTGTTCCCATACTTCCAGCTGTGCTTGCTCCAATTACAGGAATTCGGTCTGGAGCTGAGAGTGCTGTCGACTGATAACAACATCGTGATGATTTTAACGCACATCGATGCTTGTTATCGCAGGTCAAGTCAACACACAATTCTTTCAGTTTCTGAAGAATCGTGCCAGGCGGAATGGAGGAGCAGTTGCAGCAATGGATTCTCTTGCGAGTGGGTCAATATCTCTTCAAGATTCTGCCTTCATTGGGAACTTTGCCCAGCGTGGTGGGGCCATATTTGTGGACAGCATCAGCAGTTTCAGGCTGCAGGTGTCTGCGGGACAGACGATGGTGTTTGAAGACAATGCAGCTCTTGCTGGTGGTGCAATATACGCTCGCCTTCAAAACCAGGTCCAAAATGGGCTCACAGTGTCAGGTGCATTGTTTAAGGGCAACAGGGCAGCTAATGATTCTGGCGATGTTGGCTACCACCTTGTAGAATTTCCTCAAAGTGAAAAGGCCCAAATCCCCAATGATACAATGACCAACAGTGTCCAGAAAGCTATTTTGGATCCAACCTCAGATGAGCCATGCTCCCCTGGTGGTGGTGGTGCAATATGTCTTGCGTTGACACGTGCTCCCGAACGGGGCACAATGAACATTGTCATCATGGACACAGACTTCACTGCCAACAGTGCCTCAACTGGAGGTGAGAAAATCATTGTTTGCACAGCAGTGTCATCTGTTCTGTTTCTGAGCGACGTTGAGTTCCATATAATATTGAACATCCACCCTCATTTTTAAATATTGTGTTTGAATTAGCAATGTAGGTATTGCATGGTGCACACCAATCAAGGAGAGTTCAGGTATTTTTTTTGTTGTTCAAGGTGTTGCCGACTGTTATGAACAGATAGTTGATTGTTTTGTTGTGGTGACATATGGTATGTGGTCTTTATTTTGACAGCAAGGTGTGCTCTGCTATGCATTGTGTTTATTGATATTTGCCACTTCATGACACAATACAGGATAGTGGGGAAACATATCAGGATGCGCTGCTGCAACCAGGACATGCATTGATAAGTTGGGCTCTCTATTTCCAATGCAACAAGAGCTGCTACCAGCCAAGAATGAGTAATGAAAGCAGGTTGCAGAAACGAAAATGAACACAGGCAGTGGGTATCCTCATGAAATGAAAAATCTTGCTACTGCATTCTGTATGGTGTGCAACAGCACTTGTCCAAATACATATTGCAGTACATTGCATCTTGCCTTCTGTCCACAATCCCTTGTGTACATTGGAACATCCGGAGTCCATTGTTATAATTGCCTGTTATAAGCATATTTTGAGGCACATGTTCAACTGCACGCATACCTACTTGTGCATGGCTGTTGAGCATGTGCATGCATGCCTTGCAGGCGCCATGCTTGTGGCAACAGACAAGAACTCTGTGTGGGTACCACCGTCAGAGTGCACTGCTCGAAAAGCAGGTGCCAATGCTCTTGCTCCTGTACCTTGTCGGGGCTTGGGAATGACCAATGTACGCTTCACAGACAACAGTGCTGCCTATGCCGGTGGAGCTGTGTTTGCTTCAGACCCAGAAAATATCTGGGTTAACGAGGTGCGGGCTGCATGGTGTGCTTCCCTTGAATTGCTATCAAGATGCTTTTGTCCTGGGCCTAAATTCCAGGTCAAGAGGATTGTGTGGTCTCTTGCAGAGAGCGCTGCCTGATTATCTGTTTCTTGTTGCACACAGGATGATCGAGAAGAGTTCATGCAGCTATCCACCATTGATGTCAACAGCATAACGATGAATACGAAGGGCACAGAAGGGTTCGGGCCGAATGTCGCATCCACAGCACGGGAATTGAAGTTCTCATCAAATCTCACAGAGAATGGCTTTCTTGTTGAAGGTCATCTTGCGGGCAAGCTGCTGCCAGCCATAGTTGTGGATGTGCAGGATGCATTTGATCAACGAATTTCTGCTGGGGTCACTGATGCACGTGAGTCTGTTGGTGGTTGGATTCGTAACAAAGTATTCGATAGCATGTCAGTGGCCCAAGGAGTTCGTTGTTTGGTGCTCTACCAATTGCAGGCACAGGATCATTCTTTATGTGGAGGAAAGAGCAGGCAGTGTTCTGGAGTTCTTGTGAAGTGCGCTGTCAACTGCTCCAGGGAACGCCATTCTGAGATGTCTGATGTTGCCACTTGTCAAGTGTATTTCTTGCTTATGGCTTCTGCAAGATGGACATGCATTCACAGTGAAGGAGAAGTAGTCTATCATCAATGGCTACATTTTGGAGCATGCAGCCAACATTGCATTGGTGGCTAAGCTGCTTTCTTGATTGATATGTGTGTGTTCGCTCAAAAGAGCGTGAAGTTTGAATGCCGTTTGGTAGCTGTGGCGCTGTGCTTGTTTTGCTGTCTGTTGCAGGGGCATGTCTTTTTGTGAATTACAATTGGTCGTTGCATTTGTTGATATCTTTGACAGTAACTGCTTTGCCTTTCTGGTATCCTACAGCCCAAGTACGCGCAGGCTGAGAGAGTTGTGCAGAGACATTTTAACAGAATTTGTGAAGCGCTGATTGGTGTAGAGTGTAGCTGATTCCCTGTTGCAACTATTCAGAGCTTGTCATAGCACATGTGCATGCTGCTGGCTGCGCCATTGTTTGCTTGTGGGTGGTGTTTTGCAAGGTTTGAGCCATACGGATTGGAACTGTAGCAACCAAACGACTGTGAATGCCTAGAACATTTGTCAACGGTGCTGCAAGCGGTGCCTCACAATGTTGTGAGCTTTGAGCGCTGTACAAAGATATTCCTGTACCAGTTTGAAGCTGCTATTCTGCATTCTTCAACCATTCCATAGTTTGCTGTGTGTTGTTTGCACTCAGAGTGACTGTGGAATGTTGGGAATCGCCAGCTGCTGTGTGTGGTGCTTGGCATTGTGTAGGCTATGTGGTGCATGGACCACTGGAACACTTCTGACTGCAGTGTGGTTATGGTGCAGACATTAAAGTGACAGCATCCGGAGACTGCGCCGGTGGCATGGACTGCATATCAGGGCAGCGTACAGCAGACGCACTGAATGGCATTGTGGTATTCGACAGTATCAGAGTGAATGCACCTCCAGGAAACTACAGCCTTGTCTTGAGTGCATCAGACTTGGAAAGGGTTACAGTGCCTTTCTCCATCAGGGACTGCATTCCAGGAGAATTCAACGTGTCGAGTCAAAACATCTGTGACCCTTGTGCAACTGACGAGTACAGTTTTCTGCCAACTGTACCCTGCAGGGACTGTGATTCTGATGCGCTTTGTGCTGGTGGCTCATCATTGGTACCACAGGATGGGTTTTGGCACTCCAGCCCTTTCTCCATTCAGTTCCACCAGTGCCTAGTGGAGGAAGCCTGCAAACTGGCACCTGACGTTGTGATAGTGGGAAAGCGAAATCAGTCGATGACTACCAGAAGTGATATCTTGGCAGACTTCTACACTAACCTCACACTTAAGGAAGTTGAGTTGGCCTTGCAGACAGGAAGGGTGTACAGCAACGAGGAGTACCGGCAGTGTGAGAAGGTATGCTGTTGTGGTTGTTGAGGCATTCTTGGTGGAGATCATCCGCCATAGTCCAACCACCATTCAGGCATCACGTTGTGCCCAGCATGCTCAATAGCTAACTGCACACCCCTCATGGCACTGGATTGCCGTTGTACTGTTGCATTGAACATGTCAACCACACATCATCACGAAATGGGGGAAGCTGTCTGGGCAGCCATTGTTGAAGGAATTGGTCCACTTATGGCCTTCTGTTCACATTGTTCTGTATAGGCTGCTCTCATTCCTTGTGCTTTTGCAGCAATTTGTTGGATGGATAGCTCAACTATGTCTTGTGTCACAGGGCTACATGGGCATCCTGTGTGGTTCTTGTGAGCCAGAGTATGGACACCTGCCCGGGGGAGAGTGTGTTCCATGCAACTTCAGCAAGAAAACCACTGGCCTGTTCATTTTGCTGGTTGCTTTATGGACTTTGCTGTTGCTGGGCTTTGCCATTCGCAGTGCACTGTCCAGTATTCGGGATTTCCAAGAAATGACAGTGTTGGAGCAGGTTTCACGTAAGAGGCTGCAAGTGGCAGGGCAGAATGCTGCGCAAGGTGGGGGTTACCTTCCATGCCTGCTTGCGTGCGCTGAATAGATATAAAGGAGCATACAGCTCCTTGGGAAGTAAGGCAGCGTTGTTGTCTGTACGTTGATTTGTGCTCAGCAGACTGTGTAATCTCTCAGTTGAATGTGGTGAAGGTCACCCACCACATTCGATTGTTTGGAACTGTTGTGTGGGTGTTTCTCAATGTCACCAGATTGCGCTAATTGGATGATTTCTTGTTTGCTGAGTGCAGATGCGGGGACAACGTCACAGAAGGGGAAACGAGATGTGTCGTTGAGACAGTCTGAGTCCATGCCTGGGCGTCGGCACGTCTCTGTCGATCATATCATTGCTGCAGAGAAGGTATCAGAGACTCTGAAGGTAAGCAGGACCCAAAGTTCAAGTATGGGTTCGTCACTGCATTTCATTCTGTCAATGGATCCTTAGTTTGTGTCTTTGTGGTCTGCAGATCGCTACAAACTTTCTTCAGGTGACTGGGTTCGCAGTATCGATCAACGTGAAGTGGACTTCAGCAGTTAAAAGTTTGCTGGGCTTGTGGGGTAAGTAGAGTTGGAGGTTTTGTATCGTTGAGCTCTTGTCAAAGTCTAGTGTACTTTATGCGCAATTCTGTGAGACAGTCAGGCTCTCTTGTGGCAAGGCAGATGTTGATGCCGAAAGAAACTGTCAAACGATCGAACCTGTGCCATAGTCTGCCATTGTTTGCCGTTTTTGATATATTTTTGCTGCTGTCCACCTGATGGGCAGCGATAAATGATTATTTTGTTGCATTATGGGCTGCTGTTGATGAGCATAATGCAGCCAGGGCTGTTGATGTTGGACATCAGCAGCACACGACATCCTTTTTTCTCTTCTGCTGTGGTGACACTTATACCCGCGCGATGTCTGTTTCATGCACATTTTGCATGTTGTCAGTTTTCAGCTTCAATTGAGTCGCTGTCCAATTCCTTGATTGGTGCACATTTGCAGACATTGTGCACACCATTTCTGCTGTAGTATTTTATCAGAAGTGAAGCACCCTGTGGTGCATCATGGACCTCACCAACAGCATGTAAGAATGCAGATGTTGAGTTCTAACTCATCGTGGTACTTT